GGAACAGAAAAATTAATTAGAAAAACCAGAAAAGAATAAATTAGAGAACAGGTAACAATTAATTTTCCGTGCGAACAATATATTACGAATTCATTTGTGTATTTTAGCAAGAAAAATTACGCGAAAGTTAGTCGGCGCCAACAGAGCCAACTTAAAAATTCCGCAATAACAGCACACTCAGCGAATGCGAGAGGGCGCGTTTCCCCGCTGCTCCTTAGAATACCAATTTCCCTAACCGCAACGAGTCCACTTAATTACCTCCTCCGCTGGTTTATTCCCGAAAGGGGCCAGAGGAAGGCGCATAGTAATTTCCGGAATGGATACGATAAAAGCCCACGACTTTTCTCCCCCCTTTGCCGCAACAAATGGATCGCGGCGAGCGACGTTTCCAGCCCCCGACGGTTCCGGAGGATGACGGGGGTGGAAACGGCTTTTTCACGTGGCCAGGAATTTGCAGTAGAGCCGGGTTTATTGGTCGATAAAGGCAAAGCAGCGAGCGCTGCATTTTTCGAACGGCAAAAGCTGCGACACCCGGCCAGATAAAAATCTCCAAGTGGCACTGTAAACGGCGCCGCGAAACCCCTGATCAATAAATTCTGGACTCTCCGGGCGGCCTGTAAACACCGCTCTGTCATTGCGATACTAAAATTATAAATCGACAATCGACGTGCGGTATCACGCACCGCGTACGTGGCCCCATCAACCGCTGGGGTATCTCGATTCCTGGCAGACAAACGCTGCTGCGAATCCGCGACTTTATAGTCCGAGTACGGTTTTCGAAAAGCGGCAGGCGAATTAAAGGCTGTGCGTTTCATAAAAAGGATTACGGAGTCATGATCTTTGGTTTGTTAATTGGACCGTTTATTTTGAACGTGGTGTAGGTCCGTTTTTGAAGAAACATGAGGTATCGCGTAATTTGTGATTATTTTAGCGTAACCTTTTTATTTATAACTAGTTCATATTTAATATCTTAAGAAATGTCGATGTTTTGTTTAATTTAAAATTGGCCAATAAAAGAAATTGCGTAGCGATCGATTATGAAACTGATGTATGTACAATTTTCATAGACATAGATGGCGGGGTTACGTAAAAAAATTTCTTGTACACGCCATAAGATTATTATGATGTTATAAAACAAAGTAGAGAAAATAATAAATTTATTTTACACGAAACGAAGCGGGAGAATTTCGTTTCAACAAGAAAATCTACAAAATACAATTCAAAACCGAGTAAGAAACAATACTAACGGAGAAAAGGTAAACTGGCTGACAATATGTTGGGTGAGATCGTAGCAAAAGTGTACTGTATAACTATTTTATATAAAACATTGATGGAGGATACATAATTTAAGACGTTAGATTTATCATCTACATGTCGGGGAATATTGCCAAAATTTAAAAGAATCGTCCTGGCGCCTTTGTGCATTATGAATAGTTCAAAACACTGCCGCATAAAGAGTATAAATAAATAACATCAATACCTTGTGTTAAGTTTAACGATATATAAGTATAATTAACGTTCAAAATAAAAAATGCTACTTCAATTTTATTTCTTGTTATTATTTACAAACAAAATTGGATTATATAATATATTTTAAGTGATATTTAAGTTTTCATAATTGAAATTAAATGATTTTTACAATCAACTAATTTTTAAAATGGTGTGAGTCCATTTACAGCCTGTAAATGTACATTATTTTAGTTAAATTCGTCTAAAAGAAATTTATATAATCAAATTACATGTTGATGAATTAGTAGAAACATTGACATAATTAATTTATATTTTAGAATTGGCTAATGTGCTAATGTGCTTCAGTTTTCTCAGGACAACAAAAAATGGACTTCAAAATAAACGGTCCAATTATCAAATCTTGATCGTTGGAGTAAACCTACCGTGCCGGTCAAAATGGCCGGTTTCGCATTTCTTATTTTAAACTCGTTGAAATTGGAAGAATTCTTCTATAGGAAACGATCGATTAGCTTTCTTAATTCAGGTAAACATTATTATAATAATTATAGAAAGTCTCTCTTCTTGAGTATAAGTTCAGTCTCTTAATTCTTATAAAATAACATACGTTAGTTATTTTTAAGGCTCGGCAGATTTAGTATTAAGTGAACGATAAGATACTTGTATTTATTTGAAACAAAAACATAGTGATATCACTGTTTCAGTAGATTAAAAAATGTTTCTGACTTAATGCGAGGTATTATTTATTATGAGTGCATCATTAATCACGCNTATTTACAATTGACTAATTATGAAAGTGGTGTAAGTCCATTTGCAGCCTGGAAATTGTATATTATTTTAGTTAAATTCGTCTAAAAGAAATTTATATAATCAAATTACATGTTGATGAATTAGTAGAAACATTGACATAATTAATTTATATTTTAGAATTGGCTAATGTGCTAATGTGCTTCAGTTTTCTCAGGACAACAAAAAATGGACTTCAAAATAAACGGTCCAATTATCAAATCTTGATCGTTGGAGTAAACCTACCGTGCCGGTCAAAATGGCCGGTTTCGCATTTCTTATTTTAAACTCGTTGAAATTGGAAGAATTCTTCTATAGGAAACGATCGATTAGCTTTCTTAATTCAGGTAAACATTATTATAATAATTATAGAAAGTCTCTCTTCTTGAGTATAAGTTCAGTCTCTTAATTCTTATAAAATAACATACGTTAGTTATTTTTAAGGCTCGGCAGATTTAGTATTAAGTGAACGATAAGATACTTGTATTTATTTGAAACAAAAACATAGTGATATCACTGTTTCAGTAGATTAAAAAATGTTTCTGACTTAATGCGAGGTATTATTTATTATGAGTGCATCATTAATCACGCACGCAACAATTTGTTTCGTTTATTTAATGTTGATTTGTTACATAATTATGGCAATATAGCAGAAATTAGATTGTTCAATTTAAAATATTTTGTACATATCTGTATCCAAAAATTCTGCGAAAACTTTGATTTTTTTCCAGGCATTTTATCTTTGTAGTAGGTCACAGCAAACATGATACAATTTCTTGGTTTTTCAAGATCAGAAAGCTATGTATAGATTGTTATATGCTTTATCACATACTCTGGACAATTTAAGAAATATTATTTGCATGACTGAACGTCTGCAAAAAGTGAAATGAACGCAACAGTGTCGATTGTTTTTATATCAATCGTAACAGTAAAACAGCGTTGAATTAATCGAAACAGAGATCATCTATTTCATATTTAGTCTCCCTATATTTCGCGTCGAACATTCCACGTGAAGTATTATCTACTTTATATTTAATCTCATAATTATTCTATATTGTACGTAAAACGGAAAGTTCTTCTAAACTATTCGATCTTACGACTTATTCATATCGTGCCTTCGATCGTTGTACATTTTAACAGGCCATCCTCCTTAAAATCAATTCACATCGAACATAAAATAAAATCAAGGAATAAAACGTTCCCAAGAACAACGTTACCCGTTGCAATTCATTGTCAACAAAACCGTGGCAAAACGCAGTGTATAAAACGCAACCGAAGCCAATGCATTCTTTTATTTAATCAAGATTCACCGACAAACTCGCCTAAATCTATCTAGCACCTCGCCTAAACACTGTCGCAAAATTTATATTTCACGTTTGAATATCAGGCCGGTATTGATACAAAGGGTGTCGCGACAATAAAAATATAATTTACAACAGTATATATTTTATTTAAAAAAAGTGGGAGCATGTCCGTTACGCGGGATCGCTATTACGAATCCTCGTAGTTCGAGAAGCATCCCCTTCGCCGTGAAAAGATATTGGTCGCCGGCTAGTATAAAAGTTCTTTAGAAGGGTGCAGGTCGGGGAGATTTAACGGCGGACGATCCAATGGCGTTCGTTGTTTGAGGGGGTTGCTACCGGGACCTTGTGACGACCGTAAACCCACGGCGGACCAATGGTGGTCGTGCAACTAACCCCCTCGCTTCCTCGAGACCGCTCGTTCGGCGTGTAATGGCGAATATCTCGCAGCTGATATACTCGAACGACTTTCATCAAACGTTAGTTGTCTGAAATTAATCTCGTAAAAAATGACCGTCAAGAAGGGAGGCCGGGACCGGTTCTCTCCGGGAGAATGAGTTTTTTAAGGGTCTCTCTCCTGGCAGCCCGCCGAATCATCCTAATCGGGGATGGACTCTCTCGTTCTCGAATAAAAGAGAAATTATGCAGAATGGTGTTCTGTTCGTGATAGAATCCGAAAATGACTGTTTAGGATATTTTATTCGAAAGATAGATAGACGAGCTTCAAGATTGCCCTTCTTGAAACACGAGAATTGTACACGAGTAACTCGCCATTTTGCATTTTTTTCTACTATTTGTGCTGTTTAAATGGAGGTATATCAAGGCATCAAACTTTCGGAGATCGTCTATAATAATTCTTAGAGAATTGTTATTCACAGTAAACAATGTTTCAATTTTTTCGAATATTCTTTACCCTCCTCTTGCATTTACAACATTAACAAAATTGTGCGCAATTTATGTTCCCCTTTATTTGTAATAAAAGTCTTCAAGCTAGAAAAGGAAAATAGATACACGTGTATTAATATTGTACTAAATAGAAATGTTGTACAAGTTTCTGCAGATATTTGCAAGAATTGTTTGCTTACGTTCAAAACACGATAACGTAATGAAACGACCTATTTAATGCGTTATTCGAAACCTATAACAGCTTTTCAATGACGATATTATACCTAAAAAAAGCTTAACAATCTTCTTCTAAATGATAATATACCGAAAGAAATTATTAGACTATATTATTGGAGATATTATTGGAGATAAATCGTTGGATTACGTATGAAATTGATTGCACCATTGATAAATTAATCAAAAGCCCCTCAACTCTCAAAATATTTAATGTTTAATATACTATTAAGTAAAACGTGGTTGGTAAACAGTTTTTAATTTCAAAAATTTAAGTGAGTTTCATGTAATCGATCCATCGAATTTGGACAAGTTATCCCTACTGCTGTCAGAGGTCGTGTAGTCCAGTGTAGCTATCAAATACGATTGTGGTTTGGTAGTCTTCTGCGACTTTCTGCGGCAGACGGATTAATTGACAGGAAGATGTTGATTTCACGAGGAGCCCAGCTTTTAAAGGCAGTGTGTAAATCAAATGCTAGAAAAAATGTTGCCATTAATTTTGCCCAGACTCGCGGTTGTAAGTAAGTAGATATACATTTGTTACATAACCCGTTCGAAAAGAGGTTATGTTTAGACGTTTTAGTTTTCACTTAATTTGCTTGTAAAACGTTGAACATTCCTTTTGCTTATAAATTTGTTTGCTTCATACCTGCGCAAACTAATTTACCAAATGAATAGACAAACATATCAATAATTAGTAAAGGATTTTTCAAAGCGGACATAAATCAGGAACTTTTTGTTCTTTTTAACTTACTTTATTTTCTACTGTTCCTACTGTTTTAAATATCGCTATGTTTCTTCAGATTGTTTTACCGTTCCTCACTACCACCATATAAAACTGAAATTGTACTAGTAGAGATACTTATGGGAACATTCTATTGGTGGCTTCTGTGGAATATGTGGCACGACTGGGAACTTGTATTTATTGTAAGCGAAATCTCAATCAACGAATAATTTCCTACAGTACTTGGAAAATGTTACAAAAAAATTTGGTAGCTTGTAATAAATTTCTGATTGTGCTTCCTTCTTCCAGGGCCATCATCCACTTCCATATCCGGAACATTGGTCTGATGAGGAACTGGGAATTCCACCAGAGTATTAATGATAATAGGTAGATCCTTTTTAGCAGCACAGTGCATTTTATAGAGCTGTCAACTCATTATCCCATAAGGATACAGTGGTTGTGACGCTTAATGTCTTTGTATCATAAAATAAACTATTGCAGTGAATTTATTTGTGAATCATGTATATTTATTTAAAGCCAAACATCTGTGTATTAAAATGTTCATATGTTTTTCTTAACCACGTGTTGGAACTTTGATGGAGATTGTTTTGAGTTCCAGGTATTCCTTTATTCCCTCAGCACCCCTAAAAACCACGAAGAACAAGGAAATTTTGTAATTTCAGCTTTATCATTGCAATATTTTGTTTATGTATGATTTCAAACTTACAATTCACGACCAATACCAGACTCTTTGAATCCACCAAACGGAGTTTGAGTCGTAAGAGCGTCGTAACAGTTTATCCTGTTGAAATATTTACATTCAAATGATTTATTAACTTACAGACATTATGAAAAATGTGTACTACTTATTTATATAACAATTTTTACCAGACACTGCCAGCTTCAACTGCTTGCGCGAATGTCAGCGCTTTATCGATATCTTTGGTGAGCACACCAGCAGCAAGACCGTATCTTGTATTATTTGCACGCTCAATGACTTCATCTAAAGTTTCGAATTTCAAAATGGACTGCACAGGTCCGAATATCTCCTCCTTGGCGATTGTCATATCATCGGTCACGTTTGAAAAAACGGTCGGCTGCAATTACCGTTAAAATCAATAATTTTAATCGCAAAGTTGCTATATTTAGAACCATGAAAGCATACCTTAATGAAGTATCCAACTGTGCCATACCGTTCTCCACCAGTTTCCACCACTGCACCTTCTTTCTTTCCAGATTGAATCAAACGCTGGATTTTGTTGAACATTTCTTCATCGATTTGCGGTCCCTGTTGGGTCGTCGGATCGAAAGGATCACCGAGTTTCTTCTGGGCTGCTAATTGTTTAGCATAGCTAACAAATTTGTCATATATCTTAGCTTGCACGAAAGTACGGGTACCGGCGCAACAGTTTTGTCCGTGGTTAGCAAACACGGCTTCATGAGCGATTTCCACAGCTTCCTTAACTGTGGATTATCCTTTGTTATTCATTTGTAATTTAATTATAATCTTTTTCTAAAGAAATTCATCATTGTACCGTCAAAGTCGTCGAAAACGACCAAAGGACTTTTGCCACCTAATTCCAGACTTACTCGCTTGAGATTAGATTGACCAGCAGCTTGCATTATCAGATGGCCAATCTGAAAATGAATGTTGCAATAACGTAGACTTAATTGGTGATTCATTCTTGTACGGCAGTAAATTGGAGATTTTAAATTCTGAAAATCTTTTGCTGTTCAAGGTGACTTAAATTATTAGTAAATTACATCGGTGGATCCAGTGAATGCAACTTTCCGAATGTCTGGATGCTCGGAGATAGCTGCGCCTGCAGTCGGTCCATAGCCTGTGATAACATTCACAACACCTGGAGGAAATCCAGCTTCTTTGGCAAGCGCCGCAGCATACAATGCCGACAGCGGCGATTGTTCGGCTGGTTTCAATACGATAGTACATCCAGTGGTCAATGCTGGAGCCCATTTCCACACTAGCATGAGGAAGGGATAATTCCAAGGAATGATTTGTCCTACCACACCAACTGGTTCTTTTCTTGTAAGAGTGACAAATTTTCCATCTAGATCATAGAATATTTAATGAGTAAAAATAAATTTATCTTTGAAAGGTACTTTTAACATAGAATAATATATACCTGTTGGAATGGTATCGCCAGTAATCTTATCACACCATCCAGCATGGTAACGCAACACCTCTGCACCGAAATACATTTCACCAACAGCATTCTTGTATGATTTTCCTGTATCCAATGTTTCAAGGGTAGCTAGTTTCTCTGCATCACGTACAATAAGATCTGCAAACTGTTATAAAATATTATATAATAAAGAAATAGACCTCTGTTGAAACTTCCTTAACAGACATGGTAAAAATTAAAACCGTATTTATCAGCTTTGCACGGGCAGATGCATTCATGTTCCTCCATACTGATCCTCTTTGGAATGCTTTCTTTGCAGCTGACACTGCCTTGTCCACATCAGCCTACAAATTGAATGTACAGAAAACAGTGTTTCAAACAATGAAGCCCATGATATTAAACCAAAATATAAGCATTTGATGTAACCTTGTCACCCTCAGCTACTTCAACAATAACAGCACCAGTGGCCGGATTTATGGTGGGAAACTTTTTACCACTCACAGCATCCACAAACTCGTTGTTGATGAACAACTGGAAAAAAATTTAGTTTTAAGAAAAATGTTCATATCCATATTATGTATTCATAATAGTCCATGATTAATACAGAGAAAATTCAAAAAACTGAACAATTTTTAAATCTAATCACAGATATTAGCAATCATTTACCTGAGTGTATTTGAAGTCTGGCTTCTTGCAAGTCATTCTGGAGTATGCTTTCTTCGACAGTCGCTTCACGAATGATCTTGGACTCGTCAGAAACGTGCAACAGCTACTTTATAACAGAATGAAACATATCATCTAATCTGGCTCAACGCCAATTAACGTAGTGGGGATGTGGTCTGATAGGATACCAACCGAATCTCGTATCTGAAAACACTGGCATGTAAATACACAAATTCGATATTTTTGTATGTAAAATAAGAATTATCATTCGCATAATTCGTTCATTGAAATACATACGTGAATATGGAAAGAAACATCCGCAATTATAAAATACACAACGTTTTCGATACTTGTGCAAAAATTGCATACTCATCCAATCGAATTTTTGAAAAATCATGAGAATATAACGCGAAAGAGAAAAAAAGTATTGATACGATTTAAAGTTTTAATAGAGTTTTAATAAATAGATTGAACCGCGTGAACGAGAAAGCAACAGTTCCAATGAAGAAATAAAAACCTCAGTTGCTGGAGTTTATTAAATCGATAAATTGCGGACCAATACCCGAAGACGTGAACGCTGTATGTAAATGGAAAAATTTCGTTTTGTTTAATGAAGAATCGAGAATGTGATATCGTATAATATATCGGAAACAATAAAACTGTAATTGTTCGTAAAGATTAAGTGTGTCTGCAGACGTTATTAATATTCTATTGAAATTAATCCTTGATCCGACGAGATATTTGATATGGAGGGTACTCAAACTCAAGCTCTAACGAGCCAACAGTCCCCCAATGATGGGACCGATGATGCGGTAAATTAATTAATTTTATTAACTGTTTTTTGTTGCCTAATATGTGTCCTAATATTACACTTCTGGACAAAAAGATAGCCCACATGTGTTACCTATCATTTAGTTCTCTAGAATAAGTTCCGAATTCTCAAAATGATATCTGTTTGGCAGAGAATTAAACAATTTACGAATATATTTTTGTGACGATTTACTACATTCATTCTTCAGACACTGTTTAAGCTCGTTAATAATTTGAAATTGTCTTTTTTCCTTGTACACCGTTCGAGTAATGATAATAGCAGTTAAAACCGTCTGGACCACCCAGGTTGAAACTCTTTTCATCTGTGAATATACATATCATCATGTACAAGAATACATTTGTAGAATTTAGAGAACTTTTTATTTATCTTTGAGAACTAAATGATAGTACATGTGTATTATGTTTTTGTCCAAGAGTGTATGCCACGTAATACGCTAGATTTCTGTCTTATATTCGAGTACAAATAGAAATCTGCTAGTCATAGAAAATGATATCATTATTTATTTTGTTATTTTTAGTTCGTGTTTGTTGTTCCTGATGCCCTCGCTTTCGATTCATAAAAATATTATAGTGTATGAGATAAGCGACGATTCGAAACTAAAGTATGTATTATGTAACTTCCATATGTGCTTCGTCTATCTACTTCGAAATTAAATATACTGTTGTCAGCTGTGTTTAGATAAAACCGCGTTTAGATAAAAAAGAATTTATCACATTGTTTTAAGTTGTGTATGTAACATCGCGTAATGGCAATGACGAGACATTATATCTCTTTTAAACTTTAAAACATTATCTAATCATGGCAATTAAAAATAATTCCTTCAGCGATATCGATATTTCATTCGTAAACGCATTTTTGCACAGCCCATCCCTTGTCCTATGATGGAATTGTCAAAGGACGCGGGTGACAGACCAGCCCCCTATTTCCCTCAACCAGGAGACGAACTTCCGGCACAACCGGAAGCGTCGATGGATCCTATTGGGCCATGGGCCACTGGAAGAGCGACCTACACGCCCAAAGATGGTTTAACAGGCGTGAGACCGGTCGTTGATCGAAATAGTGTGACCAAATTCGGCGCGCCGCAATGGAGGGCTCACAATCTCAAATTCTTCCAACAGTCGAACGAAAAGATTCAGGCCGCCCAGTATGAAGAGAAACTTTGCTTTATACAGTGTTTATCTGCGATCATTAGAAGTAAATCGGCTTCCTTATTGACTTAAGAGAGATGAGCCTGTTTTGCCGGGTAACGGAGGATTTGCTCTACTCTCGGTTTATTGAACCGAGAAAGTAGAATTTTCATCCCCAAAGATTGCCGACAAATTATACATATTTCAAACTCGATATTTATTTCTGCTGTTACATAAAACGACTTTGATACAGGCTCGCGATAAGCAACGCGAAAAGATGCGTCCAGCAGTCGTACAAACAGGCGGACAAAACGCAACTGGAAAATACCGACCACTTGAAAAACCGTGCATCGGAGGTGTACCGTTGGAAAATCGAGCTGGAGCACGTGTTACGGGACATCACCGAGGAAATCGAGATGCTGGAAGCGGAACGTCGACGCGTCAAGCTGTCATTGTCGGTTCTCACGGTTCCTGAATCGATTGCCGGTGAATTCTTGCAGCTACGCTCGAAGCGGTTGGAGTCTGATCTGATCCGTGACGAGGTCGAGGAGGAATTGACCAAGGTGGCCTTCGTAGCGATGAAAAGAAGACAGAGTTAAATTGATTGATACATGTTTGTCAATTGCCGCAGGAAGTAGCACTTTGCTCGGAAATACGTGACCTGCTCGGCAGGACCCGCGAGCAAATAGAAATGCAATTGATAGAGTTAAAGGCAGCCAAGGCGAGGATGGAAGTAGATTGGACCGATAAGGCTGGGGCTTATCAAATAGACACTTTCTGCGTGCAGCTGAAGAACGAATCCCCTGAAATTTTATGGAAACCTGGGGCTACGAGATTCCCGGCAGAGTGTGTACCGAGTCGTTGAATGTAACTAACTCTACGGCAGAACCTTGATAACGAGCAGATGGTCAGCGTATCATTCCTGATCAGCGTACTCGGCGCCAGGTTCTAGCTTACTCGCTAAACAAAGAGAAAAACCAAGTCGACTATCCAGGGTTCAACGAATCATATTAATATATTCTACGATCCTTGATTGTGCGAACAGATTTCCATGTAGATCAATTTTAAACTAGTACACAAGTTTGGAGTTAAGTCATCTTAATCAGACTTTCAACACTTTCCTTGACAGACAATCGACCCCAGCCAGCTATGAACATTACACGCGCGAAAGTTTGACCGACGCGGAGGCGGCCAGGCAAAGATCGGCCAATCTGCGGTCCACGTTGAAAGCCATTTTTACGAATTCCATAAAGGATCTTCGCGATCAAGCGACCCGCGTGGATCTCGCTCTCGGTGGGAAGAGCAAGCTCACGGAGGAAGTGTGTTCGCAGTTGGAGAAGGAACTGCTACGCGTGAGTGTCCTTGCCAAGTTCAAAGGGAAATCGTTTTTTTGGTGCTTCTGCCGACACTTCGACTGCTTTCAGTGCTTGCACGAGCTGGCGAACACCGAGAAAGCGATCGAAGAACTTCGGCATTCGGCGAGGGGGCTCGATTGCGCCATGAAAGTCGCGCAAACACGATTAGCCGAGAGATTACGGCGGGAGAACGTTGAAAATTGCCGCGACACACCCCAATTTACGTGAGTATCGGGGCCACCACAGGACCCCGCGTAGTGAATCGAATAAAGATCGTCAGTTTTTATTACAAATAATTATTGGAAACGTGCGTGTTTCGATTAGGCTTGTGGAAGAAGTGAAGATGCTGAACGAACGCACTTCCGCCATGTTGGCCGAGCTGAAGAAAGCTGAGGAGACCCAGGCAGCTCTTGTCAAAGTCAGGGGCGATCTTGAACGAGAGATCGTCGTGAAACGGAAAACATTGTACATAGACAAGCAGCGTGGCCAATTGTTGCGATCTTTTTATCCTTCGGCCACGACTCTGGCCGGTTTTTAATGGTATTTAAATGCTTCTATTACGATATGCTAATTAACACGTTCCGTGCTCATTGGTCGTTTGGTCCACCGTGTTCAGGATTTGGCTAAGTTGCTTAGTCAGAATTATTGTCTAATACATATTCTGTAGACATTTTTCTGTGACACATTGCTTTCGACTTTGTCTTACATAAATTTGCTTTTAAAAATTTCTGTTTGCATGAAGATTCGCGGTATAGTGATCGTTGGAACGCACTATTTATAGAACAGTCTTCTGCAAATATCATTGTCTAATAGCTCGAGACGATAAAGTCAGCGCGGAAATATTATTCTGGGAACACTGTTAAGAGTTACATTCAATAACGTGTACCGCGTTATAATTATTTTGAACAATTCGATGGCTCCGATCATCGATGACCGACGTTGCAGGTGACATATTAAATTGTTAAAAGCTATAATGATGGTTCCAGTGTTCCCCAAAATATTATATTTTATATTTTATAAATGTTAAAAAGCGGCACGGAACGTGTCGAATGAATGTACAGAACACGAAATTCAATGGAGATTAACATTGGTTCTATAAATATATTTCGGAAGTACACCACTTAACCACGCGAAAAATATAACGGCCCTTAATATTTACGTATAATAGTATTGTATAACATTTTTGTTTTGATATTTTATACAAAAATGAAAAAAATATACGACCTGGACAACTTCCGGAGTTGTCTCAGTCAGACGCGTCGTACATTCGTATAGAATTAAATTAATTGTTACACCGTTGCGTTCCGAGAGGCAGCGTAGGTTATCGCTCTGGTCGCGGAATTAAATTTAGTAGAAGATAAATAGATAATCATAGCTCGTCGTGCAGCTGTACATTATTCAATACAAAATCGTAGAGATCTTCTAGATTGCGAGCACCATTGTATTCGGACACTTTTTGTCCGTCGCGGTATAAGTACAGACTAGGAAAACCGTCAACATCCTGTTTATTGCACAGATCTTTGCTGACGTCGAGGGTGCAGTCCACTTTGGCAATGTTCACCTTCTCGTTGCCGAAGAACTTCTTCCCGAGATCCTCCCAAATGGGCGCTAAACGCTTACAATGACCACACCAAGGCGCGAAAAACTTAACAAATGAAACACCCGTTTCTATTCCATGCTTGAAACTATCGCCGGTTAAACTAAGTACGGCGTGTAGCGTACTGTCCGAACTATCAATTTTAACATCCACTTTATCGTTGTCATTAGCAAGCATTTTCGTTACATAAGCCTTTAATTCTTCATGAGTGCGTTGTCCAGTATATTTATCTATCTGGAAATTATTTTACATTTTAAACTTTTGTACATTTATACATTTTTTACACTTAAAATATTTTTACATTTATAAGTTTTTTAGGTTTCTACAAATCTATATTGTATTATTTATATTTCACCTTCTTTCCATCTTCAATCCAAAGCAAAGTTGGATACCCCTTTATATCGAACTGAGTGCAAACACTACGATGTTGATGGCAGTCTACTTTAGATATGCTAACATGGTCACTGTTACGTAAACTGTTAGCTAACTCCTCCCATACAGGTGCTAATTTCCGACAAAAGCCACACCAAGGTGCATATAAGTTTACAAAGTGATAACCAGAGGACACATGCTTGTCAAAAGTGTCCTCTGTTAATTCTAAAAGACCATTTACTGCATCAGGAGCAGATGGAGTTTCGTGTATATCCTAAATTAAAATGATTATTATTAGAATCCAGATGGCATGCGTTACAACCAAATTGTGTATATTATGGAATTGATAATTACTCCAAAGGGTGTGCCCAATTGTTCAAATATGAAGGCAATTAGAGATGGCATGTCCTTTGCATCCTTGAACTTAGTGCCCTTGGTCTCTCCAGCTTTGAAGAATTTGAACCTACAAAATAGACAATACTGAAATGTACTTTATTTGACCTTTATTATTGTAAAAATAAGATGTGTGGTAAGTCCATGTTACACATACGTCGGATAGCCAGTAACATCATGTTCACTACATAGTTCACTATCAATGGTGCAATCTACTTTAGCAATTATTACATTGCTTTTATCTCCATTAGTTTCTTTGGCTAATTTTTCATACTGTGGCGCCATTCTTTGGCAATGTCCACACCTGAAACAAACAAATAAATTCTTATTGAGTGAGAATAATGTATGAATATGATCTGAGACATCTATTCGCGTTCTTGTATTCCCTATCATAGAACAAAGCAAAATATTTTACTTACTTAATAGTACTTTTTACGTCTAATCATGCATTTAAAAAAGATAATTTGAACTTACCAAGGCGCGTAGAACATAACAACATGATTATTCTTCTGCACTTCCTCTGCGAAATTGTCTTTGTTGTACTGCACAGTGTATATAGTAGTATCCTCCTCATCCTGTTGACTGTTGACTTGACTCAGCAGAAATAGAAAAACTAGGATATGTTTCGTTATAATGACAATACTCTTCGAACGTTTCATCATTGTGATAAATTGTGAACACTGTATAAAATAATTCGATATGAATATTATATTGCTGTCGATAATATAACGCTACTGATAACGCTAATATAACGGTAATATAATTGGTAATAATAACGGAACGATGTCAAGATCACTTTATTTTCGGAATCACAGCGTCAGTAGGCAATCGAAGTAGAAAATTATTCAGTGTCACGCAATTCTAATTTAACTATTCTTTGCAATTCGCACTCGTCTTTCAGCCTCCCACACAAATGGATCGAAACCGCCGATTCCGCCCCCCATATGGTAAATCGCACTGATACCAAAATTTCATTCTAAAATCTCCACGGTGTTTTTGGATATCGAGATTTTTTTTTGAGAAAATTAATACTTCAATAAATAATTTAAATCTGAAAGTAATTTTTGCTGATTATCTACAAAACTGAGAATAAAAAATACTGCGATATCACAATTATTTCTAAAAATTGTATGCTAGGGTATATGGCGGTAAAATTCTAGAGAAAGTTCATGGGATTATATCCCTAACCGGAAGTTCCGGTCCGGAACCGTAAACATCAGGATACACTGCGATGAACTGAACGCCGGACAAACGTGATTCTCAGTCGGCATTTGAAAATGCAATTGATTTTAAAATAATTAATACTGCTTGTCATTCGAGGCAATATGGATCTTAGTTTCCCAGAATTTACGACAAATGAAAATGTTCAAGCAAGTATTTTGTTTTTAAAGCTTATTCCTCTTATCGAATTTAACAACACTGACATGTTAGGTTACTTTGAGGTTATGGTACCTGTACGTTTAATGACGATTTATAATAAAAATACGTCACATGCCCCAAAATAATAATTAGTTTCTTTCATCTTATTCCCGAATATTTATTTGATTATTATCGACTTTGGTTTAAATGTCTTTAATTTTGGTGCTGTATCTGAACGTTAATGTTTATGTTGATATAGAACGATAACTTGACTTCGGCAAACTTGACACAATCTTATTTGTTATTGAAGAAAAAAATCTGCGAGACTCAGTAAGTACTTTTAATAAATATTTTGTTAACTAAATTGTAGACCATAAAATTTGATCTAATATATTTTTATACAGCGAGGTAATTAAGCAATACAATGATAAACTCAAGGAATGTGAGCGTTTAAAGACAGATTTAGATGCGGCCACTAAACAAATAAAGAAAGTTACTTGTAATTATAATTCTACATTGGCAAAGGTTATTAAATTGGAACTTGTAAGTAAAAATTAACACATTGCCAATATTTGTGTTTTACAGCAACTCTTTGACTTATTTTATATTCCATGAATTTTCTAGCAAAATACAGAGTATAAAAAGAATATTGATACGCTAACAAATCAAATAGATAACTATGTAATAAAAGCTGCTGCTGATCAGCAACATATACAACAACTCATATGCAAGATAAAAGATGTGGAGTGTCAGCAAGATGATAAAATTATGCAGTATGACTTACAAAAGTCTTCTTTTGAAAGTGAGTGTATTCAAATATTATCCCTAGTGCATGCAAATGTTATGTAATTCTTTCTTTTGAATTATTTATAATTTTTATTTTAGTGAGAGTCAAAGAACTGGAGATGGAATTAAAAACTATGAAAAAGAGTAGTGAAACGAAAGTTAAAAAGATTGTAAAAAAAACTTCTATGAGGAGCAATGACTGTCATAATAGTAACAATATTGTCACGAAAGATGTAGCTACCAACACTTCTAATAGTAGCAACATTATCACTAAGAACGTTGCAACTAACACTTCTAATAATAGCAACATTATGACTAAAAATGTTGCAACTAACACTTATCAGAATAGTAAGCGAAACGGATCAAGCAAATATATTATTCTAATTGTTCCTCTTAACTATTATCTTCATTTTACAGGAAAAGAAGTAAAAAGTATTGGAATAATTACGACACTTACCAAGGACGAAATAGTACAAAAACCACAAGTTGCAGACAAGTGTCTACTAACAGATGAATTCTATAATGTAAAGGACGATATGTATCCTGTATTTTGTTCCAAATGTGAGGTCCATATAAACCCCCCACCTATCGATAAAATTTGTGAGATCATGATGGGGTCATGTCCAAAATTAATAGAAAAGATTTCATCTCCTCCTAAGAAACGTATGCCCGCACCGTCGGGTAAGTAATTTAAAAAATTTAACATCTTACATGATATACTAATAATTCAAATAATTTCAGATGTGAATAGAGAACACGTTAGAATCGAGAATCTAGCAGATTCGCCACCACCACATTTCCATACCGAGATCGTCCATTCTGAATTTATTTCTCCGAATTTTCCACCGCCGGTTCCATTTGATCATTTAGACTATTGCCGCAATTTTTCACGATCACCTAGTTCTATGAGTCAAAGCGCCTCTTGCATTAAGTCAACACCGATCAGCATGCCACCGGTGAGAACAAGCGCGGCTACTCAAACAAACAAAAGCGAAAACGAGTCTGGGGTCACATTTTCGTTGCAAAACAGGATCGACAAGCTAGAGAAGAAACTCCAGAAAAAAATCAAGAAGCTGAAGTCTCAAAAAAGGAGAAATTGTTGTCAGTTCAGTCAACCTCCTCCTAATTCGCATTATATGTTCGATATGGGTAGCGCGATGCAGTTCAATTTTATGGAGCTCTGGAGGAGGATGACAGACTTCTACCAGAACAAGGAAAGGGAGCCAGTCGTTGCACGCAGACGTAAGGATAAGAGCTTGAACAAGTCAAAGTTATCTCGACTAAAAGCTGCAAAAAGACTACAAAGTACATACAGCAGAAGTTCTTGGAAGGTGGACGTGCTTCCAAAAAAAGTGGATACAAGTTCCCCTAGAAAGAAACCTAAGAAACGAAAGCACAAATCTTCTATGCTTCTCAAGAAATCGGAGGTCTCCATGCAAAATTCTGATTACATTGAAGAACCAATTAGCGATTCGGATACAGACACGGCCGATGACACGTTCGATAACACTCCTACTAAAGCAGATAGTACTGAATCTAAAGAATCATGCATGGACACGATTGATTCGACGTGCAACGATGATCTGAAAACGATAACGCACTCCACTCATTCTGGAGATGTGGACGAATCGATGGCTGTAGACAGGGCGAAGAACTCAGCAGAATGCAGCAAATCGGCGGGAGGTGAGACCGACTCAGGAATACTCTCAGACTCAATTGAGTCTAACAAGTTGCAGTTCGAGGCGGACTTGGACTCATGTTTCATTCGGATAAAAAATGCGAGAGACAAGTTAGTCATGAAAGACGTGGCGAGTTTCGCGGGAAATTTTAAGTCAACAAGGTCTCAGTCTACTGAGACTCAGTCCACACTTTCAAAGGTGGAGGAAATGAATGAGATTGATGAATTGGAGTTGGAAATATCAAAACTGAATGAAGAGTCACAGACTCCAACGCCTAACCTCGAAAACGTTGTTAGGAGAAAGAGGAAGGTTGACGAGCTTGAGGAGCCGAAAAAACCTTGTCGTCAGGGATTGATGAGGAAAATTAGGAACTTGAGGAAAAATACTACCAAACTCCAGAGGAACATAGTGAGAATCCCGCGATTAAATTACAAAGAGATCCAGCACTACGAGAACCAATGCACATTGCAAGAGGAGAATCATCTGGAAGAGGAGGTTGAGAATGTTACGGCGAACGATTATGTTCCTAAAAAGAGACCACGAATTGCCCACATACCTAAAGTCATGACAGAACAAAATACTTGGTTAAACAATTATACAGAGACTAAGACACTTACATCTAAAACTAAAAGGGGTAGGAAGCCCAAATTTGAGACCACTATCGTGGGTAAGACTGAATTTAATACATGTACAGTGGAGGAGACAAATATAACACAAGAGGCACCTGAAATAAATCCGAAACCTGAAATGAATCCGAAACCTGAACTGAATCCGAAACCTGAAATGAATCCAGAATCTGAAACGAATCCGGAATCTGTAATGAATCCGAAAGTTGAAATAAATCTAGAAGTTGATAAACCAGATGAATTGTCTGGCAATGAAAATGCCTGTGATATCTCCACTGAGTCTGTTTTCGATATTTCTAACTTATTTGAGCAATGTAAAGAAACAAGAGAAGAACTCGACATTAGTTCGTCAGCTCGAAAAAGAACTGTCACTGGGATTAAGAATAATTTAAATTGCCATAAATCTTGCCAGAATGACAGGATCGCAGTTGTTATTCCAAACGGTTTTAGCGTATCTGAGGAGGGAACTCAACAATTTATAGGAAATAATCAATCATTCGATTCTAATTCATTAGTGAACAATCTTCATATAGCGTGGAAAGTTAACAACAATAGGGATAAAAGCTTGAATTCGAAATCCTCGATCGAGATACTGAAACAATTAAATGCCGAGAAAAAGTCTTTGGATAAGCGCCATAAGAAACAATTTAAAAATTTAGCATGCATCCGTTTAGTAACAGGTAATATTACTACGTTAGCTTATTATTTAAAAAGGAAATATTTTATGCAATGCATTTTATTTCAGATGAGTTTGTAACAAGACAATTGCAGAGGCTTGTAAATAGTGAATGGGAGAACACTGTGCATTGGGACGTGATTGAGAAACTAAAAATCACGCGCACAACGCCCCGTATCATAGCAAAGTGAGCATCAAGATGCAATCAATACGTTTATCAGTTATGATGTGGATTGCAATCAATGTTACCTTATTTCAGAAATGTAGTAGAATTTTTAACCATAGAAGAACACTGCAAAGAGAAATTAGATAACAGTTACACACCACCCGCACCTTTGATGACAAAAACACAGCAAAAGATCGCGGCATTGTTGGTTGACTTGGAGAAAGTATTTCCGACGACTATTCAACTAGTTCAGGTTGGCATCGAGTACAAAATGTTTAAACTTAATCAGAAACAATTGGTAAGTTGAAGTAATATTAATTGTATTTATCGATCGCATAGAATTGAATGGCACGATTAATAGTCGTCTCTTTCTTCTAGCAGAGATCAGTTGTCGATTCGCTTGCTAGGATATACACGATTTTAGCACGCATTCAGAAAGACAGAGAAAGAGTAAGGATATTCTGTTGCGATGCTATTTATTGTTTAGGGCTTAATGCAACCATTGTTTTGTACACAGTATTCACTTGTTGGCCAGAGGTATTTCCATGTAATGAAACCAACAAAGGTACGTCAAAATGTAGTTTCCATTAAGACGACTTCCAAAGTTAATTTCTAAATTAATCAATTTACTCTGTAATTCTTATAGATGTTTTACCAAAATGTATTGCACATCTTACAATGTCATTAACCGCCTCCGATTACCCTAAGCTAAACGGATTGAAGAACTTGGTATCGGTGTATTACAAGTATCCGACCGGAACATTGTCTAGTGACATGTTGGATACATTACTGACAGCTTTCCAGGGTGTGTAAACATGAGAAAACAAATATATCAATTGTGTTAATCTTAATTGTTCTCCTTTGTAGAGACATGTCACAACAACATAATGATCGCCATCGCGCTTTTAGCGAAGAAGGAGAGTACGGCGTGGACGTACAAAAATATAATTAAGGGTGCCTTGTTGCCCATGATCATTAATAAAAAATGCTCGAACCAGTACAAAGCGTTCTCCTTACTGGGTAATTAACTTCGTCAAAGGAAGTTAAATGAACTATTTCTTAATTCAATGTATATTCAAATAAAAATCCTTTTTGTTATAATTGCAGGTAGTCTGATGCGACCATTTCCTACAAATGACGACGATAATTCAGTGGGTGAGATTGTGGAGCAACTATGTGCCCTAAATGACTCCAATGAAGGTACGTTTTTTTTATTAGAATCACTTAACCCAAATTGCACACCATGGAGAATATGCTGATTTGAAATTTACATTTTCAATTAGGGTCGCATGATCAACAAGAGGGTGTGATATCGGCGTTACTGAGTTTGTCAAGGCACAATTTCGAGACGATCCTACCGAACGTACTAAAATGGACCCCTAATGCACTCCTTCATGATCGAACTGTGGATCAGATCAATGGTCTGTATAATCAACGTGATCCAGCTTTCTGGAGGAGGTACATATCCATATACGAGAAGAAACGTAAACAAAGTGAATCGTGACGTGTAGTATCTTCGTCGTTGAAAAAACAGATCATGTGATATTCATTAAGTAACTAATTATTGTGTATATACTTTCCCATTGTTTTACTTTAATCGTTCATTCATAGCTTGCTTGTTAATTTCTTATGCGCGATAAGATTCAAAACGAATTATTAGTTTTGACAATGTTAATGATTTACCGACAGCCACTTTAGTATAATTCCGTTGAGTATCGTTGATTAAAGTGCCCAATACGAAACTTACCAGAGTAACCTCTTTTTAAGATAACAATACTAACGGATTACGTAGACACTAATTTAACTTGACATGTTTCGATTGAGTCAACCCGAGAATGTTAGTACGCGTGAAATACTAACAACTTTGGTAAACCAAAGAAGATACTTATCGTGCAATCGAAGCATTCTGTCGGTACATGTAAGTTTCTGTACGTCGTGAATGTGCTATAATTTAATTTAATTTTTTATTTTCACGAGAAAAGTGTCGGATAGCTTAAAAGAGTCATTTTGTTATCGAATAAAGTGAAAAATTGATTTTCTATCCGGTCTCTATTACGTGTCCACGAGTCCTCTTAATTTTATTTTAATTTTAAATTATTTACATAATTAAATAGTCTAAGCTTAAAATGTTTCACTTAAATTTTAAAACCGTAATGCTTGCTATATTTTCTGAACCGAAGGATTCTACCTTAAAAATGCAGTGAAACAAACCATTGGTCAGACCGTCGGTTAAATATTCATGAGATTCCGGTGTATCGCATGAACAAGACCATTAACCTGGACTGAGGATAGCACTCATTATCAGGGTAATGAACATTAAATAGTAATTAGAAGGTGTACGAACTTACGCAGATCGGTGACTCCTGCCAGGATGCCGAAGGGGTAATTCTTTGAATCAACCGTCCTATAGCTAACATTTCCAGGTCACCTACATTACATCAAGTGACAACTTCTTACTAAAAAAAAAACTAAATCAATCTTCCGTAAGTTTTTTAATTAGAAAGCTTTATATTTTGATATGTGTCTTACTTACAGCGTACTTATTTACGTTTAATAATTTAGAGTCGACGATCGTAATGCTACCGGAAGTACCACTGGAAGAGCGGCTGCAAGAGACATTGATATTTAGAATATTTTAATTCCGTTTAACAGAGAATATTTGATTCGGGAGACAAGAAGTATGACATCAAAAATCACTTTTGTTTCTAATACCAATTAATTAAAAATTACAGTTGTTCCTCGTTCCGTGAAACGTCGAAAGGATGAAGGATCGATGTTCGGGAACGACGAATTAAGTTTAAAAAGTAGTAACGTGTAAGATCTCGATATTTATGCTATTTAAACATTTCGGGAAACAAGATTACAAGTTTTTATTCCTTTCAATATAATAATAATCATAATCATAATAATAATAGATAATAATAATAATAATAATAATAAAAATAGATAATAATAATAATAATAGCAATAATAATAATAATCAACATATCGTAAGCTTCCATACGCAGAGCACGCTAAGTTAATACATGTACATGGTTTCTTTACAAAAATAATAACAATGTTTCGATGCAACATTGCGGATCCCATTGATCAATCTCGTCTAGCTAAATGACACTTTAGCAGCTTCCTTTGGATAGATAACTTTCGTATATTAATATATATGTCCCGCATTTAATTCTTGGTCGCTCCCTCTTCAAATCCTTCCACGAAAAGGGAACGTTTCAACCCCTTCTCTCGCATCTATCTCTCAACCTCCTATCTCTTCATCTCTCTATCTGCTATACGCGTCTCTATCTCTCTTTTTCTCTCTCTCTCTCTCTCCCACTCTTTCATCCTTTGCATTTAAATAAACTAAATTATTTGTCAGTTAATCGACATTGTCTTTGGTACATTTACAACGAACAGCATACCGCGCGATACAGTACGGATTTGGTAATGTCGGACGGGGGTACCTACCATCCGCCGTCATGTTTAAAGCGCACGCGATTCACGATGGGAACACGAGACAATTTCGTTTTGGGAGATCCGACGCGTGTCCCCGAGCGCGAGCGGATCTCCGTCCAGAAATTAAAACGGAGAACTAAAGAGAACGCGTTTTATTGTTAAATAAACAACACTCGACGAACAAGCGAATCGTGGAAGCGAGGGAGGAACAAATGGCTGATAGAACCTCGCCAGGATGGCATTGGAGAAAGAGAGAATCGGAAGCGAAGAAAGAAGCCGATCAGAAGATTGATCGAGAGCTTTGATCGAGGCCGATCGCGAATTTCGAAGTTCCGGTCGCCTCGAGAATTCTCGTCGATCAATCCCCATCGGCAGTCTTCTTCGACGCTCAGCTGATGACCCAAAGAAAATTGTCAGATTTCTTTCGTCCAGATCAAATACGCTTTTCCAGGCTGAGCAGTTTATTTTCCTCACCCTCTCTCTCTCTCTCTCCCCCCCTCTCTCTCTCTCTCTCTTTTCTCTCCTATTCCCTCTCTTCCTGGTCCTCTTGTTCGCTTAGATCCGCGCGATCACACGGCCACGGCGCTGTCTGATGTACTAAAATGCCACCACTCTGTCTGCACGCTTCAAACGATCGCTGGATCGCGGAGAACTCGACCGATCGCTCTCGATCGAGGCGAAACTATCCTCTTTTCTTTCTGCTCCCCGTGGAAAAAATGAAAAATGTTGAACACAATGGAAAATCGAGCGATCGGTTGGTGACAACGGGTCGCTTCTGATATGGAAATCACGGGGAAATCGGATCCTGGGTCTCGAGCGAGCGATCGATCGATCGCGGCTTGGTCGCGACACAGTTCTAGCCGGTCCACCGAGTGATCTTTGTAGATCGTTTTTGCTGATACTTTGCTTGAAAAACGTAAAGCATAATGGTTCTTGGACCCGAGAGCTAAAGGATGGTCAATGATTGTGATCCAACGATCATGCGGGGTCCTCAATCCCCCCCGACGCTTCGATCAACGAATCGTAGATCGCAGGTTGTCGCAATCTTCTACAGACTCAATTTCGAGTAATTTCCTTCGTCGATCTAGAACTGGATAATTTCGTTAAATCATCTTTCGCCGATCCAAAGATATCTAAGAAAGAAAAGTGGCAGACCGTCTAGCCTGTTTAGGGTCGCCTCGCGATCCTCGCCGCGTCCGTTCACCTCCTCGTTTCGTCTCTCTACTCATAAATAATAAATCGTGTCCTTAAAACGTATCGTTAACCAAAATACGCGAGAGCTAGTTTATTAGGAATAACTGATTAATCGAGTTCCGATCGATAGGTAATAATTAAAGAGGAAAGAAGAAGACAAAAAAAAATGGAAAAAGAAAATGAATAAATTGATCGATCGTTAACTAATGATCGTAAATTAGTAAGAATAATTAAATCGTGATAATTAATTAATTACGAGAAAGTAAGAATAAATTAGGAACCAAGTACAAAGTATGAGACGTACGATTCTGGGGGTCTGGGCATCTTGTCTGTGTTCGTGGGTGTGTGTCAGTGTACATGTTGTGTATGTGTGTATCGCATGTGCGGGGAGGAAAATTAAATTAGAATGACGCCGTTTCTCCACGTTAATTAAGACTATTTATAAATTAATGTCGGGGGCATCCCCGAGAAACACAACTTCTCTGTTAGGCCTCTTCTCTTCTCGCGACCTAAACTTCGTCTCCAATTCTTGTCTCTTCAGTTTCGCTCCCCTGATCGTTCTCCCCGAAATTCATTCTGGAGAGAACTATGCTTATAGTCTCGCCAGCAGCGGGGGCTGAAAGATCAGCAGGGGGGTGGAAAGCAAAGGGGTGCAAGGGGGCTGACTGTTCGCGACCCATTAAGACACAAGAAGAGCAGACGATCTCATAGAGCGTTTGGAAGCTTCTCCTCACTCCGCAGTATCTACAAATATACAAATCACCGTTCTACACGGATAGACTTCTCCCTTTATTTCTCTCTCTCTCTCTCTCTCTCTCTCTTTCTCTCTCCCGCTCTCTTTCTCTCTAGGTACGAACGACGAGAAAAATATCGTGTATCTTCCGCGCAACACTCCTCGGGACGGCGTCGCCTTCGGCGACGGAACATATATTTTCTTTTCGGTTCGCCTCTCTCTCTCTCTCTCTTTCAGATTCTCTCTCTCAGATTCATTCAGATTCTCTCTCATTCTCTTGAAAACCAGCGCGGCTGGTTATTTTCGGTGGTGCGGAGCACGCGACCCGGCGATCTCTCACGCGACCCCTGTCATCCAACCGACTCGTCTCTCCCCGTGAAATTTATTTGTCGTCACACAGAGGGGTACATCCGAGGGTCCAAGGGGGCTAGGGGAGGGGGGCTTAATCGAAGCGTCATTGATTGTAGTTTGTCCGCTACAAACGGCGATTCACGCGGCTCAGATAAATTCCATGGGGGTTGAGAACGAGTCGATCGGCTGGCCCTGCGCACGGATAATTTACTATTTACAATGGGGGCTCCAGGGGGTGAGTCTCGGCCAAGGTCGTGCGCCATTTTGGTACTGCACACCGAACGTACACTGCTGTCCCTCGATCCTTTGCCGGATCTCCCTGATTTCTCGATCGGGCATCCTCGAAGATGCTCGTCCGCGACGGACCACGCTGAAGTGACGCAATCATGACGTCTGAAGTAATCGGAGGACACTTTGGCGAACGGAAAAGGTACTCGCTAACTGACACTGTCTATTGCATCGTAAATACTATGTTGTACCAGTTTGGATTGTTTTGTAAAGATAATCGTGGTTTCTATTGCTTTGCAAAACCAGTCTGTATTGATTCGAATTTTGTATGATTTATTATATTTCCTGATAAATGGAGGTATTCAATCAGTTTCTCTGTGTATATGTTGATCTCTGTAATTATGCAATGAACAATCTGGAGCCAGACTTTTTTACTTACTTTTGATTGATCGTTTCCAAAAGAAGCATCAATGGTCATAAAAGCTGTCCATCTTGCTTGAGGCAGACAGTGTACATTTTATATAGGGATGGCGTGGACGTCTATTGCGACTGTCGCGAAACTACTGCAATCTTTTCAGTGTTCTCGCAAGCGAATACCTTCCCCGCGCGCCGCGTTTCTCTTCCGGAATCGGATCCCGGTATATGGAACATCGTTTTTCCCAATCGTCGAGCTTTTGGAAAATCTTAACACGACTGAAGCGACTGTTTTGCCATGGTTCCGCGCACTATCATTCTGATGAACCGCGCTCGATCCTCGAGGACCTGGGTACACCTTGTTCCCTTGAACGCGTTCGTTTACTGGGATAAACTATGTAGGATACACGGGGTAAGGGGTATATCGTTTTGGATTCTCTTTGGCGTTGTCTTAGATATAGCGTGGAGCGTATTAGAATAAAACGAGGACACGTCGATGGATCGAAAAACGACATTTCATGAGCACCAATCGTTTCCACGGGACGCGACACACGTTCGATCGGCCGTGATCCTCCGATTATTCCGCGCCGGGACGAGCTTCCGAATAAATAAATAATCGTCTATCGAGCGGACAGCCACCCACACACCCGCGCACGATGTTTCTCATTCACACTCGCTCGCGCACACGGGAACACGCGCTCTCTCGTCTGTCTAGGAACCGACGAACCGAGACGAACAGAGAGAACAAAGCCGGAACACGAACATTTTTCGAGGAATCTCCGGCGAAAGAGCACTCTCTCGAGCCGCGATCGTTTCTCTCTCTTTCTTTCTTCCTTTCTTTCTCTCTATCTCTTCTCTGTTACTTCGCAAGAGGAACTTCCGCTGAACCGACCGACAGATCGAGAAGAACAAGAAAACAACGCAGAAGCGCGAGGAGAGAAAAGAAGAAACGACAGGACATTGAAAGTCACAAAGAATTGTCTGCAAGCTGATCCACTGGAAAACGCTTCTCCTTCCTCGAAGAAGCCGGGAGAACAGAACTCGTAGATTTTCTCGTCGCTAGCCGCTACTGTTGGTTACAGTTGTTGTTTTCCTTATCTCTGCTGCCTAGTTTTTTGTTGTTTCTTCGATTATTATTATTGTCTGATCTAAAAACTATGTTTCACTTTCGTCCGGATAGGAACAATGAATTACCGGGTGTGTACACACACACATACACACACACTCTCTCTCTCTTTCTCTCTCTCGCTCTCTCTCCCTCTCTCTAGACGAGTGTCCGCGACGGCTTTTATTTTTAAAGCCCCCCTTTCTTCCACTTTCCTCGTTCTTTGTTCTTCCGAGAGGTCCAGCTCTATTTCAAGTTTGAGCTACGCGGCTTCCATTCGACGATTCCTCTTCGATCTCTTCCGCCTGGGATCCACAAGTCTTTTAGACGGTTTCGAGGATGCCGAAGCTCGCGGATCGGTCGATGATCCTCGTCACAGAGTTCGGTTTCGCAGAGAGAGGAGAGATCTCAGCCGACGAGGAACCGAAGGGAAACGTAAACGTAGTCCATGGACGGAGACAGAAAGCATTGGAGATGGGCGAAAGCGGTCGATTCGTTCCGTGGACGCGTCCGTGTCTCTCGGCGATCGAGGATGATCTACGCCCAGACGCCGTCGGTCCGTGTCGTTCGGAATTAGGCACCAGATTGGCTATTATTGATTCGAATGCTTGCCCTCGCTGATCGACGCCATTCTCATCGACTCCGCTTCCGGGCTGTTCCATCCGGGCATTCTCGTTTGCTCGATCGCCGCCTGGGAACAGATCCGACAAACTGTTCATCGTCTACCCGACCACGATCGCGTCGAGGATCGTACTTGATCAAGTATTGAATCACCGATTTTCGGAAGAAATTAAGACTGTTACGAAGAAGAATCGTGCAACGATAAACCTGGACTCATTCTGAAGCCTGAAGCCTCTATTTTTCGCAAGTCATCGGTCTTCTTCTAAGAATTTGTTCGGATAGGAAATCGAAGGCGTTAGTCCTCGAAAATGGTGTAGAAAAGTGAAGAAGATTTACTTGGAGGAGACAGAAATCGACGAGAAACGATTGACAGGCGTAGGAATATTAATATTGCTACTATTCTCTTACCGAGCTATTAGGATTCTTGGTCATGAAGATCCTCAGAGAGCGGCTGCGGTTGCTAAACGGCCTCAGCTCCGGATCTCGGCCAGGACCATCCACCGTGTCGACGCAGTTACTGTTGCCACAAAGATAACGTCCAATGTTCAAAATCAGCACACGAGGAACGATTATCGGATAATCCCGAGTGCAACATGCTGGTCGAACCGATCGATCTACCGAAAAACTATGTCGCTTGTCGCGCCCTCGTACGATCCAGCGATCGAAGACGAGGTAGTAGATCGATTGATTCGATTAGCATCATTATAAAAAAGAAAAATATGTTGAATAATCGTTGCTACAGAGTCAGTTTGCGGATCGATGATGGTATGTTTCAAGTGGCAGTCGTTCGAAAGCTGAAGTGAGCCCGAGTGACCCAGTATTGCATGCGTTTCGCATAGGAAATGCGAGAGTTAAACATTGAAATAAAGGTAATACAATATTGTTGTAACAATGAGAGATGCGGGAACTGCATAGACATTTACCATCATTGATCATTTTAATAATTTGACATTAATTTAATATTTTCAAATCGTTTAAATGCTTTTGCTGTTCTCGTTTGATGCAGCCATTTTTGTCATAAATGCATCAAATCCGCAGTCTAATAATGACACACGATAAACATAAATTGACTGCTTCGCGTACGAATTGATTAGCGAACAAGCGTCGATCGACTTCGCTATGAGATCGTAACGCGATGGGTTAAGATAAAAACGCGCAGAACAGATTTTCCCGGGGTGGTCTGGAACGCTTCGGAAGTGGAAAATGTATGGGAATCGAATGTAAATACGTACCTCGATCGCAATTCCTTTTGCTTTCGCTTGCAGTGGATGTAAGCCGCTATGCAAATGATAACGACGAGGAATACTGCTATCGTGGCACCGCCGGCGATGCTGGCCGTCTCCAACATTACACGCTGCCGGGAAGCTGTAACGCAAGATCGGCTTCTTAGCAGGGCAGACAGAGTTTCCTGTTTCCCAGACTCGTTCTAATGCGTCCCGAGATTGAATGCCCAACTAATTGTATCGTCGTGACGGTCTCCCGGCGTCTCTCTCGACTACCGGTTCACGAAACAAGAACTAACTGGACCGCTGTCCGGGACTTCCGGGTGCGATCGGTAATCCTCCTCGATGATAATAACCACGCGTCGCGTAATAGAGCGCACAGATTTCTTGCGCCGTATTAATGTAACATTCGATTCTTGTAAATAATTTCTGCCGCCGCTGCCGCCGCCGTGCACCGGAATACAATGGAATACGTAAACAATATTCTCATGTACGAATTACTGTTATGTTTTACGGTTTTTTCGATAGAATCTGTTCGAACTTCATATTTATAGTCACGTTTATAGTTAACGCTAAACCCATGGCGGCGGACGCGCATTGACCCGTAAAAGCGCGGAGATCGAATTCGTTCAGATTTTGCGAAAGATTCGCCAGAGTTCGCGGAATTGCAAACCGAGAAACCGGTCGTTTTGTCCGCGATAGGTTTAGCGTTACAGATACCGATACAGTAGAACAGTCTTTCGTCCAATGATCTGTGCCGGATCGGTGAAAGCAGCGACACCGAAGTTAACAAGTTCATCGAGGTTTCAAGGACTTTCTCACAGAGCCTCGCACCTGAACGTCTCGGGCCGGGACCAAGGACGCAAAGGATCTTTCGAGAAAAACGGTGGCAGCAGCCGAGATTAACAGCCTTATCTTTGGATCGCTCGCTTCTCAGTGTCCAGCGATTCGTGTTATCCGTTTCCAACGGGCCTGCTGAATTCTCTTAGAGCGAGAACCGAGCGATGCAAGAACGACTGCGGTCTCGGCGCATTAAAACACGGTGCAGCTATCGATGATACTTACGCAAATAGGAACCATCTAAATCCTTAAACTCGCACCTCTGCCCGATGTAGCCGTTCGCGCATCTGCAACGAAAGAAAACGTGGATAGGATGAGCGAATCTCGTTGCCAGGACGTGTGTAAGTGCGTGCGCGTGTGTGTAAGGCTACGTTAACGGAGAAAGAGTGTATCAGGAGGGGGTGAGAGGACGAGCGGAACGCGCGCGCGGTCGGCTTTATTGTTCGCCGGTACTTCCGCAAAACGCCGCGAGAAATCCAGGAAGTTATAAAACGTACTCTTTAGGCACGAACCGCTTTTAGTATCGGGCATTAATCAGATGGGTTACCCGGCGTCGCTCGAACCACCCAATTAGTATAGTTAATTATTATTAAAAAAAAGAGCGAGAGAGAGAAAGAGAGAGAGAAAGAAAAAACGAAAAGAGTAAGAAGAGGAGACGAGAAGAAACGGCGTGCGACAGAAGACGATCGAGGAAAGAAAAGGGAGATTGTAAAAGGAACAAGGCGCGAGAGAACGCGAAAATCCGTAAAGCCTGTAAATGGATCGGTTTACAGGGCCGCCGGTGATTACGCGATAATTAAAAGGATTCTCACGGTCGATTTCGTCGAACGGTACCCGCGATGATTCGCCCTTCGAGCCGGATAATTAGCCGAAACCGCGGGTTCCATCGGCTTTTGTCGAGGGACCGAAGCAGATCCGTCGATTAAAACCGACGATCGTTCGTCGTCAAGGAAGATTAATCGTTCCTCGGACACGCTCGCCACACGCCGATCCATGCGCGCGTTTTCTTTCTGCTCGCTTCGACGATGCCGACCCGCTCGTGCGCGTGCTTCCGTTAACTCCCACGCGATGGATCGTTAATGTCGAATATCTCGACGGATCGCGCTACCGAACGAATCAAAAGTCGACCGCGACACACGATTCGCGAGATTGACCTCTTAAATATCCGGGCCTTGGACGAGAGATCGATCGATCATCTGGCAGACGATCGTTCGCTACGGATCTACACGAGGTGTAGGAACTATCTCCTGTGTCGATTCTTCCTTCAGATGGTAGATCTCATCGATTAGAAAAATTAGAGACCGTTTTTACGCTATCTCATCTCGAACATCCATCAGACACCGTATACAGTAAATTCTCCCTAATTGACGCTTAGATTGCACACAAAAATGGTCAATTTGGGTAGAGGAGATACGATTGTTCGAGCCTTGCGACTCGTTTTTATAGCTATCTGTTATCAACAACTATGTATAATCGTATCCTCGCTTCCCAAATTGTTCATTTTGTCCCAATTGTCCATCCGAGCGTCAATTTGGGAAAATTTACTGTACTGTTTCGAAACAAGAGAACCGTATCACATTATATAGCGACAATAACAATTTAAACAGAATTTTTAGAAATTTTAACAGCAAACGTTTACTGCAAACAGTTTGACGCCCTCTTGTTTAAATGAATAAATGTCAAATCATTTTCAAGCTGTTACGTTTATTTCGAAAGGAAATAGACCTTGGTGTTGCTCCTGTTCGTTACATAAAAATCCGCGGTCTACTGATATCTATTAAAGCGAGTCGAGAATCGATTCCGGAACCATTTCAGGGACGACATAAATCCAAAAAAATAATCGTTGCAGGAAATGAAACGGGAGCGGTGATCGAAACCGAGAATAGGTGCTAGTGCTTTGCATCAGTTAATTGGAGAATGGGCTCACGAACGTCGATGACGTTAATCTCTTGCACCAACAACGTGTCAGACTTGTGTCGATGATGTCATACATGATCCACTAAATATGAATCTTCTGCTATTCGCAGAAAGAAAAGAAACCACCCTTCTGCAACCCGTGTAACAAAGAACTAACAATCAACCACCTATTATACTATTTGAATGTACTATTTGTGAATGCAGGAAATATCAGATCAGTAGAATGAAATATAAACTAAACGCTTCGCAGGATATAACGTCTCAAGAATAAATTAAACGAATCCTAAATTTTTTAAGAGACACCAAAGTATTTACAGAAATATGATAACAACCCAAAGAGTCGCTAATGAATTTGTATCTTGTATCACCAAAATCTAGATAAGAAGGTAACAGAGGAAACAAAGATTGTCTCGTTTTATCAGGGATATTATTAAGATTATGTCACACCGCCGATCAATGTAGCTGTGAAGGAAATCGTAGGGTAGGGGGTTAATGAACCGGGACGTTCTCCTTCGAGAATCATCCCGAGACCACGTATACAAGAAAGTTGCGGAAAAATTGCGGAAAAATTGTGGAAAAACTGCGGAAAGATCCGCGACGATTGCATATCGATTGCATTGGGAGTGCAGCAGGCCGTTCACGGTCGAAAGTTAGGCGTTCATGGGAGCGTGGCCAATGGTTCTCGCGCGCGATCGCGGCCATTTAAATCATGTCCGCGTTCGGCTCTCGCGTGTTTTCGTGGCCGATAAACTATCCGTTGACCGATCATTGGTAACGCGACGCTCGCCGGTTCGTTGTTCGCTTTAGAAATCTACCGTGAATAATAACCACCGCCGTGCGGCCCCGTGCGGCCGCGGTCTCGGGGCCGTGTTCTCTCTTTTCCCGGCGAGGTGGTCCCGATCGGTGCCCGTTTGTGTATCCGCCTTCTACTCCCCGGCCCTTAATTTATGCCGCCTCTAACGCGATCGTGACGCGTTCGAAATGTTAACGCTGGGAGCCCCGTCTCCTCGCCGCGAAACGACTGATTTCACTGTGCGAGCACCGCTGTTTAACAATGCGAGCCGACTCCGCCGCGGAATCTTGATCATTCGCGAATCGGATCGGACCGGTTCGCGCCCCACGGCTCGCCAGACTACCCGACATTATTCATCGTGATCGGTATTCACTCCCTTCCCGAAGGATTCGTCATTTCCTAGAGATCCCACGACAGTTTGGGGGCTGCGAGTCTGAGAACATTTTCTGGCACGCAGTGCCACATTTTCTGGCACACCACCGATCGGTATTTTTCAGAAGCTTTCTGCAAGCGGAACACATCGAACGGTTTGTTTCCTCGATGGCAGGCTATCGAATGGATCGGTGGAACTGTTATTTAGCTCAGGGCTACGTTTCATCCCTCTGAAACCGACCGGAGCGTTTCAACGAAGACAGGTTCTGGCTCTTAACAGCAGCTAACCCTTTAGTGGACACACGGCTTTCAGACAAAAACAGAGAAACAGAAGGCAAACAAATCTCCTCAGAATCTCTTACAAAAGTCCCTTTTCTCTGATCGATGTCCCCCTTCCTCGACAGAAGCAACCCGATTTGAACCCGTAGAAAGAACAGCGAAGCTGGCAAATGAAGCAGTCATGCAGATGGCAAGCTCGAGAGAACGCTGTTCAACTTTGTATTTTACAGTTTACTCGAGTAATTAGGCATGTTTCCAGAACGATGTATAATAATTAATAGGTTTCTAGAAGCCATGGAAAAATATTAGTTAGCCGGTAATAAGCGTCGGAACGACCAACAAACGTCTAATGGACGTTCGAGTGCGGCGCAAGGTTAAACATTGCAGATAACTCCGATATTATAGAGTCGTCTCGGTTTAAGTACGGTTTAGTGTTGTTTTCGCTGATAGCGATCGATCGGCAATCCCTACGATCTGAGAACGAACGCGTCCAGGTATATGCTACATTGCACGCGGCGGACAGTGTGCTGCGTTTGTATCTGTTCCCGGCGTTCGAATTCCGCGTTTCCCGGAGGATTTACGAGCCCGTAAAACCCACTGTCCATTAACGACAGGTTTTTCACTTTACTTTCTCGACCGACACGAATTTGTTGCGCCACACACTGGCTACGGGCGGAGTTCTCACGGGTCCGAGGGGCCAAAAAGAAAAATCGGTCGATTGTGCTCCGTTCGATCGACGGCGGATCGTTCTGTACGGATCCGGATCGTTACGGTGAATTTATCGGAATTGGACCAACACATTGGTACAACGCAATTCCTTGTACTACGAATTACCAGCGTTGCTGTTGCAGTGGCTAATAACAATAATTAGCTAACAATTAAATTTATACAGCATCGATTCATTTAATCGTTCCTGAATTTTTCTGACGGCCTCGCAATAGTGATATTTATCGCTGCTGTTATCATCATTGTGTTGAATTTTCGTAGAAAGATTAAAAGAGCATCTGGCTCGTCCGTGCGAAATAAATTACATTAAATTTCACGCGTTTCGCGTGAAACGAAGAAAATGATTTCTTCGCAACTGCATAAAGTGCATCAAGCGACCACAAAATGTATGCAGCATTTTGCATATGGAGGAGACCGAGTTAACAAACATAATTTCTTATCGCGGAACAAAGCGATGACCAGCGTGCACGATAGTACCGGGGAATTTTAACGAATCCCGGGCAGACGAAACCGCGCCGTGACAATAGTCTTTCGCGATAAGATAAGGCGCTCCGAATTCTGAAAAATGGCTAAAGAAACTGTGTCACGGCGTCGCGATTGCAACACCTGCGCATTGTGCGTGGAATTCCAGCGTCGCGAAGACGCTTTTGGGTGTCTTTCGTAACGGGGCACACCCTTCGTAAACACGGACGTATTAGTCGAAAATACATTGGAGGAACTTCCGAGAAGAAAGAAGTCTAACTCTTGCAGTTGACGTCTCGGGGAACCACGCGACGAACACGATCCGATAACGATATTTACCGTGTCGTTTTCAGAAAGGAATGCCCGTTCCCAAGTAATTACAGAACAGTTGAGCTAGCGATCAATTCTCGAACATTTCCGAAGCGATCCCCGCGAGAGACGACAAGAATCTTTGTCCAAAAATTAATGGAACTGTCTGTCGAGCGATGGCAGATATGGCCATCGTTTCCAAATGATTTTCTGGAACAGTTTACGGTCCACAGGACCGCACAAAAAACCGTGTCCAAAAATGGACGAAACAGTGTTTAAAAATGAACGAAACTGTGCCCAGAAATGAAAGGAAACCGTATTCGAAAATTAATGAAACTGTACCTCGACCAATGGCGAAAATGGTCATGGCGTTTCCAAACGATTTCGTTGACCAGTCTAGGATCCACAAGACTCGACAAGAAACTCTTTAAATGATCAAAACTGTGTGTAAAAATAATTGCAACTGCGAACAAAAGATTAATGTAACTGTGTGCAAAAATCAATGAAACTGCATCCAACAAGTTACTAAAACCGTCTTTCGAACGATGGTAAAAATGGTCATAGCGTTACCGAATAATTTTGCGCGCCTGTTTACGACCCGTTGAGGTCTCGAAAATACCACGGTGACGCTATGGAACCATAAATTTGGGATCGGAGCGAAACGAGGAGCATTTGCCAGTCACCTGTGTTCCGGGACGGTTGTTCCCAGAAACGGAAAATGTGCGAGACGGATGCCCGGTCGCGTTCACCAGGTGAAAGGGAATCAGGTGGGGGGCTCGACATTACACGGAGCCGACTTTTTTCTCGCTCACGCGCACCCTCGCGTTGCCATGGGGTTGAATCCGTCGGCGCCGCGGGGGTGGGCAAATCGTGCACCGATCCGGGACCGAGAAAGGGACCGTTTCTCGCCCCGACGTGCCTAATCCCTGGTTGCGTGCCGTCGTCACGTCCGTAGGAATTCCTACGGGAGCCTCGTGCAGCCACCACCAGCGTCGATTGTGGCAATCGACCTTTTTCCTGGGCTGCGATCATGGGCCGACACGTCCACGGCTACTGTCTACGCCGACCTCGTGACCTTCGGAGAGACACAGGCCATTCAGGCCGTCTACGATTGATTCCTGAAAGGTGGAGACTCCGGGTCCACGGGTGTTAGGCTAACCGCTCCTCTTTTGGAAACTTGTCGCGCACCGAAAATACTGAATGGTGATTTCGAGACGGGTACAGTTAGCTGGATAGCGACTGCTTGAAACGTTAGGGGGTGACTGCATTCCACTGAGCGAGGCTTATGAGATTTTTAACCTTTAGACTGTCGGCGTGACGTTGTATGGGGTCACTAATATAGTACCGTGTTTTTTGGAGGTTACGTGGTTCGCTTTCGTCTGGCTCGATTTGTGAGAAAAAGTACAGTAAATTCTCCCTAATTCGCGCACAGTTTGCGCACAAAAATGGACAATTTGGGAAGAGGAGATACGATTTGTAGTTGTTGACAATCAGTAAATACAAAAAGAAGCCGCGAGACTCGAATAATCGTATCTCCTCTTTCTAAATTGTCCATTTTTGTGAACGCGAATTAGGGAGAATTTACTGTATTTAGAAAACCGAATATACCGTTCGATGGTGCAGATATTACACCATAAATAATTTTTCTGGCAGATCGAACCAGATTAAAAAGAACTAACTCTCTAAAATACAGCACGATAGCAGTGATTCCAGACGGCATCGCGACATCAGTCGAAGGGTTGGTCGACGTTTCTTGCTTCTAGGATTATTATTTGTCTTATCTTTTACCCGAGTTTGTTTAAACGAAGACCTACATCAATTTCTTCTACGAAAAGGTTGCGGAACTCAGACCTAATAGGTCTTTATTACAGGGTGTCTCCAGCAAGGTGTGCCGTGTATCCTTGTAGGAGTAATTCGTAAGGGTCGTTTGTGCCCTGTTGTATTTAAAGAGGACAACAGTCGTCGGACTTTCTCGTTCTACGATTTTATGAGGGGTCGTGCACCTAGCCAGCCTTCGCTAGAGGACGGCTCTAGGAAACTATGGTGCTCTCGTAAGTGGCTGCTCGGGGGAGGGGGGTGCAATTAGTAAAATTAACTATTACTATATTACTATTATACTACTATTATTATATAATTAACTATTATTATGTCACACGCATGATGATATTCGTAAAGGTATTTTTAGAAGCCTTTTACGTCATTGTTCGTACAACTATTATACCAAGTCACGCGTAAGACGATATATTTCAAAGATTTCTTAGGGATCTTTTTACATCGCGTTTTTCTTCGTATAACTGTCATGTGCTTGTGTCACGCATGAAATCAAATTCATCGAAAACTTTTAATCATTTAATTTAAATAAGATCTTCTCTCGTTATATCATTGCAAGAGAACACACCCATAGCATTTTCTCAGAAGATGTCTCTAGCGAACTATGACGCGTGTCCTCGTAAGAGTAGCTGCCAAAGGTTGTTTCACAGGCAACGTCAATCAAGAACATTTTTTTCTAGATCGAAGACACGGTTGATCTAGTCTCGTGAATGAAATAGGTCTAGCAGATGAACACCCATGAATTCCGCTGGGAGAATCATCAGAGTAGTCGCGTTTTGCAACGGTCGATATATCGCCGGCTCGGTTTCAGGCACCGTTTCATCGATCTAATCGGCGACCTTCCAGTATATTTCCCAAGCGGCGCGCGCTTAATTATAGCGGTGTAATAGAGGTGTCGGCGATGAAAAGAGATTTACTCGCGTCCGGCTCTCGTAAATCTGGTTTTCCCCGGCTCCCTGTCCTCACCTCTTGACGTCACGGTAAGCGCGCCGCGTGTCCCGCGCAGAAATTACGCAAAAATCGCGAGAGAGACGATCTGCTCCGGACCCCGCAGCATTGTCCGCAACGATAATGCGCGGGAAAGTGGAAAACACGCGGCTCCACAGTTATCCAGCACTTTCCACGACCGAGAATTTTCATCGTTCGCTTCACGGAACCCCCCTGGGCCGGCTCGCGGGAATTATGGGAGCGCGAACGAGGAAAAAGTAGCGCGAACCGTCCGAGTAGTCGTGTGTTCTTTGTCAACCGTCTAGAAAAGAGCTAACAGCTCGCGATTGCCGTGTCAATTGGAATTGTTTGATGCAAATTAATTTGTTGCTTCCACCAGTGAACTAAATTGATTCGCGGGAAGACCGAAAGGACAGTCGATGCATCTTAATTCGCCGATTTTTGTTTCATCGAATTGGTCCGATTTGATTCTGCAGCCGATCAGCTGGCGAGCTACGTATTTAATCATTTATTTATTTCACTTGAACGAGATGATCCGTTTGGACAAAGAGTAATATTAAGATAAGGCCGTTGGTAATAGATAGTCTAAGTTTATAGACTGAGTTACGATGAGATGCGGATTAAGAATTCTATTGTCGTATGCAATGACATATCAAAAAAATCAATAGAGAAATTATTCGCATTTATAATCGAACCATTGATGATATGATTTTGAGCTTTGACGAATTCACTGTGTCTGCACTCTTCCTATAGATTTGCTATGTTTATCAAAACAAAGTGCACAAATTGAGGAACAATATTCAAGGATTGGTCCGACAAGTGTGCAGTAAAAAAGGTCTGCGCGTGTTTGTCCCACGGAAATATTTAGCCGAATAGACATTTGATGTCAATTAAACTTGTCTGCTAGCGATCATTCGTTACGAAATTTGCTCGAAACGGCGTGTCTCTCGTGGCAGGTGTTTGTGTTGGAAATTGAAGAGTGTGTTGAAAAGCGAAGAGAAAATAGTCGAATACTCACAAGCAATTGTACAGGAGGGAATCGACGATTTTGACAGTGAAACATGTGGCACCGTTCAGGCAGTACCATTCCGCATAATCCGGTGGACACGTGTACATGTGGAATGTGATGTTCGGTCGAGGCGTCGGCGTCGGCGGCCGTGGCTTCGGCGTCGACCGCGACGAACAGGCGTCTGTTGATAGAAATAACAAATAAATCAATATTTCAGTGTACACTTTCATCCTCGAATAGAGAGTATAAAACTCGATCATTCGACGAAGCACAGCTCGCGAACGTAGCTGCAAATAAATACGCTAAAACGAGAGACAAGCTCTGCAGGAAGTGCTATCGAAGATAACACGAAACCCCGATCGAATCTAATCGGGTCTCCCCGACGATAAAAATTCGATCGCAGATTATAAAAATCCGTGGTCGCATTAAGCAATGCATCGTACGGATAAAATAATAATCGGAGATCCGGCATTTTTTATTCGGAGCAGATTCTGCTTGTAGATCCAACGTGTGCGTTATTCCTGATCGCGATTGTTCCGTGAAACAGTGGATCGATAATAGCGCAGCCGAAAGGCGCGAATTCGCGAGGAGTTATCATAAGATAAAACTAAAATATTTTAATTTTTATTTAATATGAATATATAAGAAATAATATGATAATAATATGAAATAAATATACAATATTTATAAAGTCGTGGATTTAGAGTTTCCGATTGTTTCGGATATTTTTAGGATTATTTTTATTTGAGCGAACTTGAAAAAAACGAGGTTAAATCATTCTCCTAACCCCCGACAAGTGTTTCATTGCCAAAGAACTGATGTAAACTCGCGGAATAATTTAGACCTCATTTAACTTGGCGCGCGTAAGTATATGCATGCTCTTTTGTTAAAATGGTCGCATGCGGCCAGCCGCTATTGTGGCCGTGGCCGTGCTAGTGCGCGTTTACCCCAACTTGTGTAACGACCAAAGGCCAAGCATCGTTTATCCCATTAGCGGTTACGAATGAGAGGCGAATTGTCGAATGGGGCCCGCTTTAGAAATTCCGACGGCTCCGAGGTTCACCGAGCACAAAAGGGCGGCCCCCTATCTGCCCCCTCCCTTCTACACCCCGAAAACTTAACTCCCGATACCATTCTTTCGGTCGCGAAGGAGCCCGGCTCCTTTGTGACTCTCGTCTACTCGTTAATTTATGTTAAACCCCTACCATCGGCGTATTTTTCATATTGTTAGTCGCCGACACCGTTTTTGATTTATTTGCTTTTTCAGGATTCCGGGCAAACAGATCACGAATGTCGTGCCTCCGGTCAGACTCGGCGTACACACTTTTTTGGGAATCCTTTTCACCGGTATTGCTCGGGTTCGTGGCGAAAGTGGCCTCAGAGATCATGTTCCACGACTTTCGACCAAAAACTGTGAGAAATCTGAGTGCACGATTTCGATAAAAATTTTCAGCATGCATATACAAATTTTAGAAATACTGTTATATTATTTTGAACTGATTAAATTCATTAACAGAGAAAACATATTTTCATTCGACTTATGTTTATTGCAATCGTGCAATCTGTCTATGTAATTAAGAACCGACAGTTCTTTATTTGTTTTTATAATTCCAAGTAATAGCAAAATTTAAAAAAATGAAAAAGGTATTCTAGTCATTGTAGAAGACAATTCTAAAAAATTCATCATTCAGAAGACATCTCTAAAAAATTCGAGTCATTAAGAGATCAGTTTTAAAACAGTTATGCCGTTTCAAATGGTGTTCACATATATTTGTCCATGACTGAATGTCCTTCCCGATACCATGTAATTTCAATTTGAAAAATGTTCTGATAAAGCGAAACACTTATGAGTCAGAAAGCCGTTGGATGCTCATCGCCGCTTATTTAAAACTTATTCGTAAGAACTTCGGAATCACACGAATATGCAATAGGATGTGTCATCTAACGTATTCAGAAACTGTTTTCAGTATTTTTGCATTTACCTGGAAAACATCGATCGTTATCGAAAACGTTGAAACAGAAGATTCTCGATTCGATAAAATCGCCTATGGAATTAAATGCCTGTGTAACGGTCTAATTATAGTCACCACGTTTCGAACGAGTTGGCCGAAAGCAAACGATGACAAAGATTCTAGGATTCCACATTCCCCGGAATGCTCGAAATTCCCCGTCGATCTTATCTCTCGTCGTGAGAAGACGTTATCCTTATCATTCGCTCCGATGTCCTCATATTTGCTCGCGATTATCGGCGAAGTGTCTTTAATTTCGATATTTGCTCGGTTCAAACAGACCTCGTGTCGCGGGTAACGGTTCTTTCTAGTCTCTCTAACAAATCGATAGCGCCGTTACGTTAAAATATTCCGCGAACCCGTATCACCTTTAAAAACAAACGCCGACTCAATGATTCAAGAAAGAAGAAGAAAAAAGGAGCTTTCTGCTCGAACGAGGATCGCGTTGATCGTCCAAAAATTTGTCCTTGCGTCGGATCTTGTGTCAGCCGAAAATGTGCATTCTGCACTCGTTCGTCGTTCCAACGAAACAAAAAAGAAAAAAAAAGCGATGCAACCCCCGACGAAAAAATTTCGCGAATATCCAAAGGGCTCAGACGGTGGAAAAAAGTGGCCGGAGGAACGCGAAGAACGCGGAATCCACCCGTCGATCGATCGATCTACCCGATGGATCGGACAAATATTCGCAGATGCTGTGCAGGAGAGGGTGGCGAACGAGAGAGAAAGCGAGAGAGGAGAGAGAAGAGCACGGCGTTCCTGTGCACAACGCCGGTGCACGTTGCATCCGCCCGTGCGGCGCACCGCTATCTGTCACCTGTTCTAATTCTCGCAATCTGCCGCACGTCGGGGACCGAACCGGGCCCGAACCATTCCCGAACAAGGCCCGAACAATTCTACGCGTGTCTGACCACCCAAGCAAGCACATTTTTAACACCAAAGCGGGCTAAAAGCTGCGAGAGATCCAACTTTCACGTCTTCCGAAGCTTTACGTCTCGCTTGCGTCGCCGCAGAAGCCATTCTCTTTGCGTTCTTCCGACTCGTAGAACTACATTCGGTGAATATAGTTGCATAAATCATATTAGGTTTCTATTGTAACTCACTTTTCGACTGTAAGCCTTAACCGGACTGACAATTACTGTAAATATTGCTAATTTTGAAATTAGTAAGTGCAAGTAAATTTACGTCGATACATTGCAAAATCCACGAGCGAATAATGGATTACACGAATTTTTAAATAGTTACATTAACGTATATTGATGATGACTTGTTCGAAGTTCAATGGAGCCGCCATACATTTTTCAGAGAGGTCGCAACAACAGCCAATTGATTAATCGAATTGTGGGCATGATTTCAAATTACATTAGAAACACAAGGCAGTAAGCAAATGAAGAACAATTCATAACTGATAAATGTGACTTCAAAATTATGCCAGCAGGTGACTGATTCTAGCTGTTGGTTAATCTTAGAAAGTCTAATGGAGTACTATTCTCTGCATTAGCTCAAGAAGCAAGGATTACGAAACAGCTGCTAAATGAGGATAATGAAATAAATGACTTATTCCTTAACCCCTTAGGACACAATGTCGACACGTCGACGACATCGAAACTATGCATCTATTTCAGAAGTTGCACTCATACAATTTGATTATATGCATAACAAAAGATCCGTATTATATTTATCGCCCCTCACAATTTAAATCTTCGACGCATAATCCAATTTTCTGAGATAAATATTCTCTTTGAAAATCCTCGGTCCGTAAAGGATTAAGCTAATTCTGTACTTTCAGGCGAGAACTCCGACGATCCTAAAGCAAAAATATGTTGCGCAACAGATCAAAAACGTAGCTAATTAAAATTCCTCACCTAAAAAGCTTCTACCACTTGTCTAAATCGTTTGAACGTGGAATACCGCGCGCTTCCCGAACGCACGTCCGAAGCTGAAGGCTCGTTTCGCGCAGAAACGTGGCAATTACGGAGAACAGGGTTCAACTCTGTTCGAAACGGGTTGCGGATACGATCGTGAGCCTACGAGTGTCATAAGGGTTAATAACTTCTTCCTTCTCGTGTAACAGAAGCACGCGTCCACTTAGTTTAACCGGCGGAACCCGGTTATTTCGACGAGCGACCCTGTGACGGCGATATATCGCATCATAATTCGAGAGCGAGTGTCCGAAAAGCCTACTAGTTTTGTCCGGGCCCCGACCCGTGGGCCGCCTTTGTTCCCGAGGCCGCGATGGATTCGACGCCATTCCCCCGGGACTCGCGACGCGACATGTGTTCGATACATTCGGGAAATAATTCGGGGGGCCCCGGTATGCACCGTAAACGCGGGGCCCCCGATGTTTCAACGTCGCGCGCGTGTCTCACAATCTGTCGCTCGCCGATGAATCGAGGATCGCGTGCCCCCACAATGTCATTACGGCCACGCTAATTGACGCGCGGCCGCTTCGGAAGCTACACTTTTTACGAGACCGCCGAGACGCCTAACGGCACCTGTAGACCCGAAAATTATGCGCGGAACGTTCCGAAGCTAACAAGTCATCTCGCAATTCGTCGCCGTTAAGATCCTTCGATGTGGAATAATGGTACTTTCGATCACGATCAATGGTATTTAATCGCGATTTCGATGCGTTCAGTTGTACGAAATTGGAATTCTTTGCTAAAGCTACAGGTGTTACCGACGGGATGATACCAGAACTTTATTATTTGGTGACTTTATGGCAAAGAAGAATTTTATAATGTTCGTGAACTTTTTTGATATTTACCTATATTTACCTCTTAAACTGTATCATTTTTAATGTGCAGTGTTTTAAAAAGCAAAGAAAATTGAAATTATATCTTAAAATCTCCATTGAACCTCATTCAAAAGATATAACAGAAACTGGAACAGTCTTTTTAATTTTACTTCTTTTACAGTCTTTTCTTTGTTACTTCTGCGATAAACTTTACCCAGCTGCGTTTCCCGCCGTGTTAAAAACAATTACGAACTTGCTAGTTATTTTCTATATCTATCAATTGACGTGGACGATTTCAATACGGCATAACAATCCGCAGTCTACCGAACACGTTGAATTCTTAGCGAACGTTTCTACGACAGCCGACCAGAGAAATCCCAGAGTCGTTTAGCCTTCACAGGGTCACAGTCTAGATCCACATCACTGTTCGCCGCGGTAGACATATTCGCTGAGAATCCGAGAACTACCCCCTCGAATTCCACTGTTTCACTTCCCGGACCACAACTTCGTAACACCAGGCTCTATCGGATTGAAACTGCCTGTAGAATAACGAGAGAAAGTGCAGCTAATTCGCTAGCTACGGTCGGATCAGCCACCCTGTACCGAACGTCACTGTATCACTGCCGAGGATCACGACCGTCACAATAAAAAAAAAAAGAAAAAAAGAAAGAAGAAAACTAAAGAAAGCGAAGTCCCATCGAGAAGAATCTAACAGATAGTAAGCCCTAAAAGTTTCGCGCTGATATCGGAGCACCACTGATTAAATCACTTTCCGAGTCACAGGGATCGGCTAAACGAAAATAAGGAAAACAGAGTGCACTAACCTGCTATGCCGAAGAGCGTGTAGGAGAGGATGAGTAGAGTGGCGAGGTAGGGTGGGATCCTGCATCCTCTCGTCATGGCAGTGACGGTGGCAGGGTTGTCGGCGGTGGTACCATCCGCGTGACGGTCGGTGGTTCGTGCGACGCGATCGACGTCCACGTCGTCGTCCTCTCGGGTCTGTTCCCGGTCGCTGGGTGGCCTGTCNTCTCTTTGAAAATCCTCGGTCCGTAAAGGATTAAGCTAATTCTGTACTTTCAGGCGAGAACTCCGACGATCCTAAAGCAAAAATATGTTGCGCAACAGATCAAAAACGTAGCTAATTAAAATTCCTCACCTAAAAAGCTTCTACCACTTGTCTAAATCGTTTGAACGTGGAATACCGCGCGCTTCCCGAACGCACGTCCGAAGCTGAAGGCTCGTTTCGCGCAGAAACGTGGCAATTACGGAGAACAGGGTTCAACTCTGTTCGAAACGGGTTGCGGATACGATCGTGAGCCTACGAGTGTCATAAGGGTTAATAACTTCTTCCTTCTCGTGTAACAGAAGCACGCGTCCACTTAGTTTAACCGGCGGAACCCGGTTATTTCGACGAGCGACCCTGTGACGGCGATATATCGCATCATAATTCGAGAGCGAGTGTCCGAAAAGCCTACTAGTTTTGTCCGGGCCCCGACCCGTGGGCCGCCTTTGTTCCCGAGGCCGCGATGGATTCGACGCCATTCCCCCGGGACTCGCGACGCGACATGTGTTCGATACATTCGGGAAATAATTCGGGGGGCCCCGGTATGCACCGTAAACGCGGGGCCCCCGATGTTTCAACGTCGCGCGCGTGTCTCACAATCTGTCGCTCGCCGATGAATCGAGGATCGCGTGCCCCCACAATGTCATTACGGCCACGCTAATTGACGCGCGGCCGCTTCGGAAGCTACACTTTTTACGAGACCGCCGAGACGCCTAACGGCACCTGTAGACCCGAAAATTATGCGCGGAACGTTCCGAAGCTAACAAGTCATCTCGCAATTCGTCGCCGTTAAGATCCTTCGATGTGGAATAATGGTACTTTCGATCACGATCAATGGTATTTAATCGCGATTTCGATGCGTTCAGTTGTACGAAATTGGAATTCTTTGCTAAAGCTACAGGTGTTACCGACGGGATGATACCAGAACTTTATTATTTGGTGACTTTATGGCAAAGAAGAATTTTATAATGTTCGTGAACTTTTTTGATATTTACCTATATTTACCTCTTAAACTGTATCATTTTTAATGTGCAGTGTTTTAAAAAGCAAAGAAAATTGAAATTATATCTTAAAATCTCCATTGAACCTCATTCAAAAGATATAACAGAAACTGGAACAGTCTTTTTAATTTTACTTCTTTTACAGTCTTTTCTTTGTTACTTCTGCGATAAACTTTACCCAGCTGCGTTTCCCGCCGTGTTAAAAACAATTACGAACTTGCTAGTTATTTTCTATATCTATCAATTGACGTGGACGATTTCAATACGGCATAACAATCCGCAGTCTACCGAACACGTTGAATTCTTAGCGAACGTTTCTACGACAGCCGACCAGAGAAATCCCAGAGTCGTTTAGCCTTCACAGGGTCACAGTCTAGATCCACATCACTGTTCGCCGCGGTAGACATATTCGCTGAGAATCCGAGAACTACCCCCTCGAATTCCACTGTTTCACTTCCCGGACCACAACTTCGTAACACCAGGCTCTATCGGATTGAAACTGCCTGTAGAATAACGAGAGAAAGTGCAGCTAATTCGCTAGCTACGGTCGGATCAGCCACCCTGTACCGAACGTCACTGTATCACTGCCGAGGATCACGACCGTCACAATAAAAAAAAAAAGAAAAAAAGAAAGAAGAAAACTAAAGAAAGCGAAGTCCCATCGAGAAGAATCTAACAGATAGTAAGCCCTAAAAGTTTCGCGCTGATATCGGAGCACCACTGATTAAATCACTTTCCGAGTCACAGGGATCGGCTAAACGAAAATAAGGAAAACAGAGTGCACTAACCTGCTATGCCGAAGAGCGTGTAGGAGAGGATGAGTAGAGTGGCGAGGTAGGGTGGGATCCTGCATCCTCTCGTCATGGCAGTGACGGTGGCAGGGTTGTCGGCGGTGGTACCATCCGCGTGACGGTCGGTGGTTCGTGCGACGCGATCGACGTCCACGTCGTCGTCCTCTCGGGTCTGTTCCCGGTCGCTGGGTGGCCTGTCGTCCGGCAGCCGTTCTTGCGTCGTGTGCAGGTGACGATGATGATGATGATGCCGAGGTGGCCGGGGCGAGTGATGAGGTCGATGGTGGAGTCGGTGGAGATGATGGTGGTGGTGGTGATGGAGGTGATGGAGCTCGTGGATGTCGCGGTGACGAGCGTCGGCTGGCTGTTCCTGGCACAGAGCCTCATCGTCGGGTTCCTCGTCGACGACGAGCAGCTCGTCGCTAGCCGCTGCCACAGTGTCCCTTCGCTGGTGACATCGGTGGCGCTGCTGGTGACGGTGGTGTCCGTAGCGACGATGTTGTTGCTGCTGCTGTTGTTGTTGTTGAGGATGATGGAGGTGATGGGGTCGGTGGTGGTAGTTGGTGGTACTGCTGTCGCTGCAGCAGACCTCGCCATCCGCCACCGGTGAACTGACCTCCTCGAGCACGCTCGCTCCGACCGATACTTCGCATCCTCCTACTCCCCTACCTTCGCCAGCCAGGCTCGAGCAGCCTTCTCCCACCCCCGCAGCAACGACGACAGCGGTGCAGGCAGCAGCAGCAGCGGCCGCAGCAGCAGCAGCAGCAGCAGCAGCAGCAGCGGCAGCAGCGCCGGCAGCAGCAGCAGCAGCGGCAGCAGCAGCAGCCTCTTCTGTTTCCTCAACGGCACGAGCTCTACCACCTGGCCCCGAGCTACGTCGCACGTGCCGCCGCCTCCCTGTAACCAAATATCCGAGCCAGAACCCGGCCGTTTACAGTGTGTTTTATCTCGGCCGGCCTCTACTTGATCTAGCCGGCTGATCCACGCACCCACACCAACGTCCATACACACAACCCGCAACCACGCACTCTCGATCGGGGGAGGAACGCGGGCACCACCCAGCGACACGGTCCACGCAGGTACACCCCTCCCGATTCCAAATTCATCCTTTTACAGATCAACATCGGCTCGATCCAATGTGCTGGCTGATTCCTCGAATCGTGAACACGCGGATCAACTTCATCCCGAATCACGTATCTGATGGAACGTGCTAAGGGATGAACGTTCTGTTGGTGAAATTCGGAACTCTGAAGAAACTGTTATGTCCACAGATCGGCGTAGTTGTTACACGACCGTGTGTACGTGTAATTAACACCGGCAGCTGTAGAAGCATTTTATGGTCTACAACCCCTATAAATACTACAGACCCTGACAGAAAGTATTGGAACATCTTTTGAAACGCAATCAATTCTTTTAAAACTGGACCAAATCTACTAACTAGTTTAAACTAGTTTAAACTAAACTAACTAGTTTACTGTACAATAAATAAAATACCTTTCATCTTTAATTTTGCTCCTATTTGGAACGATAAAAAAATGGAAGTCTCGCGTTTTTTAACTTTTTTTATTCGAACCTTGTCATTCGGAGTAATAACAAAATTAGAAGAAAGTATTTAATTGTACAGTAAACTAGCTTAGTTCAGTTTTAAAAAAGCTATTGCGTTTTTGAAGGCGTTCGAATACCCTTTTCCAGGGGTAGTATAACAGTTTGATAAATTATATTCGTAAATTGATGTCTCAAAAGGGTGAGTTTGATCTGTAACGTCAAATTGATTCGCAAAATTTGTGAATTTGGAGTGCATACATTGCATCGTTCCAAATCAGATGTTCTACTCAATTGTCGACGCACAGCACGGTCTTCCGTCGATCTAGCAGAACGAAAATCAATTTCGATAGTGATCTAGATGTAGGGTAAATGTAGGGTGCATTGGACGCGTCGTAAATCTCGTCAGAGAGATAACGAATTCTAAAGGTAATTGGGTACGTGATAAAAGCTTGCAGTAGGAAGCACTTGATCGCGAAAGCTTGTCAAAAGTCGAGCAATTTAAGTTGAACTTTTCATGGAACGAATTCAAATGAGTACAATTATGTTAGACGCATTTGGCATCTTGCACTATATAATTGCAATTAGAAGCAATCCGATAAAATCATTTCGAATTACGAGACCGACTGAGCGTGTCGATTACCTTATAAAGTGTATAGTCGAATGAAATGTTTGGTAACAACCGAAATTGCACGATTTCCATAGGGTTGTTTAATCCTCGAACAATCGAGTATTTTTTTTCTCAGAAATTTAATTCTAGATTACGCAATTAAACTTTGCAAGTCGCATGTTCGCCAACATGCGAACGTGTTCTAATGTCAGAAGTGTCGGTTCGGTAATTTTTCCCGAACTGCTAAGTTCGGATATAAGGAACGGATATCTTCAAAGAATCTTTTATCGGATAATTCAATTTGGTAATTCGGCAAGGGTTCCTGTTCCGTGAGATTCTGTATCGCGGCCAACACGTTAGAACGCTTCACCTAGTTTGGACTTCGTTGCGAGTGCGGCTCGAAAAGATCTGGAAACTTCTTGCGTGCAACAGCGACGTTATTCGATGTCAGAGGTCCTGGTAAATGTTCCTGATAAATGTATTTACTCAATGTCAAAAGGAGTAATACTGATGACTCGATAGTGGGTATTTTTGTGGGACGCGTGGGTTATAGATATCTGGAACTAGGGTACACCAGTTTCCAGCATTCATTTTGATATTCATGCGAGATATCGCGGAGACCGCCTTTATTTAGTTCGATTGCACTCTGTATTTTGTAGAGCATGGAATGTGTAGTTGAGATCTCCAAAAGATCGATCGTTCAAGGATTAATTGCGATTAACAGTAACATTTCAATGGTTACCTGCGATTAACGATTAACAGTAGCAATTAAATCCTTAGTCGTCGATTGATTTTTTGCTCAACTCTGATGTAACAACAAAGTTTCAGAGATCTTTGAAGAAACGATCTTTTATGAATCCCTAGTATGTAGATTCACAGAATGATCGTTCGGAGTCTTCGGAATTCAGAATTCTTCAGAATTCTTTTAAATATTTCCCAATTATTTTTACTAGGTAGCCATAAAACAGAAAACTAAAATGTCTTCGAAATCTTGAAAACAATTCAATCGAATCATACATTCTATTAGGCAAAGTATGCTCAGACATCGGCCCAAGAATGCCTCAGCACCCCAGCCCGATACCTCGGCCCAGAAAAAATCATCCAGTCAATCAACCATCAAACTCGAATCCCCACACCCGCCGAAATTCCCCGAGTCACCCCGAAATTCCCTCTGTCGGGTCTACCTGCTGTCCGAGGCGCGCGCCAATCGTCCGAAAAATTCTTTGTAAGCGAATCGCGATCACGAACGACCGTAAAGGTGTCCAGACGAGGAGAGGACGAGAGACAGATAAAAAAAGAGAGAGAGAGAAAAAGAGAGGAAAAAAGCGGAGAATTTTACGCGTCGAATGGCCACGCGACACAGGAATCCCCATGCGGTGCATGGTATGATCATTTAACACCCTAGCCAGATGAAGCCGATATTTATTTAACGAAGTAATCTTTAGTAATTTTACTAGTCAATTTATTGATGGAAAACGATTTAATACAATATCTAAAATAAGAAGATTAGATCATTGCTAACGCTATCAAGTTATAGGATTCTATCACTCACAAGGGATGGTCTCGAACACGGAAACTCAAAAAATTCTGGAACTTTGAGAATAGAGCATAGATATGTAGATACGTATACAGATAAATATGTATAGATATATAAATATGTATTACGCAATTCTTTGTCTTGCGCGTATTCACTTTGAGAGGTGAAAAATAACCCCCAAATATTCGGCAATTTTTTATTTTATTGCTATAACTCACAAACTGGACAAGCTAGAAAAACAGTCTTGAAACGAAAGTTATTTCTTTGACACAAATCTATCATTTATTATTATTATTATTATGATTATTAATTATAATTTTAATTCGTTACAATTGTAATTACAATTTTTCAAATTTCCTGGTTGGGAATCATCCCTTGTCAGTGAGTTTTCTAAGAATTTGGATAAAAATGTGCAAAAGTACTTCGGACAGTGGAGGACAAAGTTACCAGTGTGAACAGGTGCGAATGAACATCGCGATGTTGACTTATAACGCGATTTAAGCATCCGGATCATCATCAAAATTGAATTTCCGCGCTCAGCAGCGGAACAAACGGCGAGCGCCATGTCTGCTGGCAAATATTGTCCCAAACCTGGGCCCATAGGTGGGTACAGGGAGTGGTAAGCAAACCAGAGAACAGAGACACGCGAACGGGATACTTTTGTCGAGAGAGGCCCGGTCAATTCTGTTTCCCGAAAAGTCCCTGGTTTTCGTTGTCGGGCCCGAGCGGGCCATTGTTTGCCCACGCGGTAAACGGCCGCATTGTCCGCCCTGTTTGCAGGGAAAATATTTGCCGCGAAGAGAAATTGTTTTCTACTCTCCCTCGCCCCTGTTTCCACCCCCTTGATGCCATCTGCGCCACCCTGCGCGTCGATTACGCCCCCGTGATTGGATCAGATTCCACCACCGTTCCATCGAGACACTCGTTTCCGCTTTTCTACGAGATTTCGTGGTCCTGCCATTGTTGACAGGGCCCACTCGTGTTGCTTGTGGCAGGGGTTGAGGTCCGGCGACCCATATTCTAATGCATTGTTACAGAAACGCATGGCGGTACATTCATTTTTTGAATGTAAAACCGCGGAAGTATTTGAACAGCATATTTTTAATTTTTGAAAAATGGCTGATGTTTGAAACGGTGTGATTTTGTAACAAAAAATAGTACGCATATAAGCCTCAGCACATTTTGAAGCTTAAAGTTTCCCCTTTACAACCACTCCTTAAAACTTCATATACGATTTTTTTTTAGTGGTTTTATGCAACAGAAATGGAGAACAAGTTTTGTCGGCGGTACACCTTCCGTTCAATCCTCGATAAAACAACGGAAAAAAATCGTATTTGAAATTTTTAGGGCTTGTTGTAAAGGGGAAGCTTCAAGCTATAAAACGAGTCCAAGTTTATTATTCCATAATTTGTTTGTACAAAATTACACAAATTCAAACATTAAAAATGTTTCAAAAGTCGAAAATTTTGTTTCGCGAACAATTCTAGTTTTCTCGTGACAAAACTAATGATAAATAATATTGCATAATTAGCGTAAAAAAAATGTGTCGATCTCGTAGATTTTCCCGTGGTTTTTCGACGCTCATTTGCGTCCTTCGAAGAGGGGAAACGAATGGCCGCGAATGCTTTGTCAATCGAACCGATAAGTCCGAGTATTAGTCGACCGCGTACGAGATCGAAAACAACTCTCGATCGCACTGTCGATACGATCTTAGCCGGAATTGTTTTTCAGAAGACATACCAGATTTCATGACGACCTTGTCCCACTAACTGCCTGTGTGTCGTAAGTCGCGAGCGATATAGCTCGCGAGAAAGATCAGGTTAATTGCCGGGGATTTTCTCCTCGACACTTTTTCACACGACAGAAAAAACTCGGAAAGTATCCTGCGACCGTGGCGATACCAATTAATCATCGTATTGTGTTCGCGCAATTGTCGACACGCTTGTTCTCTCTGCCAATTAGTCTGTTCGAATCGAAAACGTTACGAAAAACCGGAATGACGTCTCTATCGTTACGCTTGCTCCTGACACTTGCAGAAACGATTTTTTTTTAATCGTGAAACATCGACGATTTACAACAGAATCTGACATTCTTCTAATAATTAATCTTGTATCGATTCGTCGCATTTTAAAAGCATTCTGCAATTGTGTTATAGAAATGAACTAGGGATTTTATGCATTTATCGCAAAAATTAGTAGATGAAGTCTA